TTTAACTAAACTTTAAAACAATTTTAACATTTCAACTTTAAGAAAATAATATTTTTATCTAAAATTAAATAGTTTAAAACTTTCACTAAAAACTTTAAATAAATAAAACTTTTAAAAATTTTAAATTAGTTTAAATAATAGTGATTTTAACTAAACTTAAAAAAAAATTGAACACTTCAACTTTAAGAAAATAATATTTTTAACTAAAATTAAATAGTTTAAAACTTTCAATAAAAACTTTAAATAAATAAAACTTTTAAAAATTTTAAATTAGTTTAAATAATAGTGATTTTAACTAAACTTTAAAACAAATTGAACACTTAAACTTTAAGAAAATAATATTTTCAACTAAAATTAAATAATTTAAAACTTTCACTAAAAACTTTAAATAAATAAAACTTTTAGAATTTTTAAATTAGTTTAAATAATAGTGATTTTAACTAAACTTTAAAACAAATTGGTACTTCAACTTTAAGAAAATAATATTTTTAACTAAAATTAAATAGTTTAAAACTTTCAATAAAAACTTTAAATAAATAAAACTTTTAAAATTTTTAAATTAGTTTAAATAATAGTGATTTTAACTAAACTTTAAAACAAATTGAACACTTAAACTTTAAGAAAATAATATTTTCAACTAAAATTAAATAATTTAAAACTTTCAATAAAAACTTTAAATAAATAAAACTTTTAAAAATTTTAAATGAGTTTAAATAATAGTGATTTTAACTAAACTTTAAAACAAATTGAACACTTAAACTTTAATAAAATAATATTTTCAACTAAAATTAAATAATTTAAAACTTTCACTAAAAACTTTAAATAAATAAAACTTTAAGAATTTTTAAATTAGTTTAAATAATAGTGATTTTAACTAAACTTTAAAACAAATTGGTACTTCAACTTTAAGAAAATAATATTTTTAACTAAAATTAAATAGTTTAAAACTTTCAATAAAAACTTTAAATAAATAAAACTTTAAAAATTTTTAAATTAGTTTAAATAATAGTGATTTTAACTAAACTTTAAAACAAATTGAACACTTCAACTTTAAGAAAATAATATTTTCAACTAAAATTAAATAATTTAAAACTTTCACTAAAAACTTTAAATAAATAAAACTTTTAAAATTGTAAATTAATTTAAATAATAGTGATTTTAACTAAAATTTAAAACAAATTTAAAAATTTAAAACTAATAATAGTTTAAAACTTTCAATAAAAACTTTAAATAAAGAAAACTTTTAAATTTTTTAAATTAGTTTAAATAATATTGATTTTAACTAAACTTTAAAACAAATTGAGCACTTCAACTTTAAGAAAATAATATTTTAACTAAAATTAAATAATTTAAAACTTTCACTAAAAACTTTAAATAAATAAAACTTTTAAAACTTTTAAATTAATTTAAATAATAGTGATTTTAACTAAAATTTAAAACAAATTTAACACTTCAACTTTAAGAATATAATACTTTTAACTAAAATTAAATATTAAAACTTTCACTAAAATCTTTAAATAAATAAAACTTTTGAATTTTTTAAATTAGTTTAATTATTAGTGGTTTTAACTAAATTTGAAAACAAATTTAACACTTCAACTTTAAGAAAATAATATTTTTAACCAATATTAAATAGTTTAAAACTTTCACTCAAAACTTTAAATAAATAAGACTTTTAAAATTTTTAAATTAGTTTAAATAATAGTGATTTTAACTAAACTTTAAAACAAATTTAACATTTCAACTTTAAGAAAATAATATTTTTATCTAAAATTAAATAGTTTAAAACTTTCACTAAAAACTTTAAATAAATAAAACTTTTAAAAATTTTAAATTAGTTTAAATAATAGTGATTTTAACTAAACTTAAAAAAAAATTGAACACTTCAACTTTAAGAAAATAATATTTTTAACTAAAATTAAATAGTTTAAAACTTTCAATAAAAACTTTAAATAAATAAAACTTTTAAAAATTTTAAATTAGTTTAAATAATAGTGATTTTAACTAAACTTTAAAACAAATTGAACACTTAAACTTTAAGAAAATAATATTTTCAACTAAAATTAAATAATTTAAAACTTTCACTAAAAACTTTAAATAAATAAAACTTTTAGAATTTTTAAATTAGTTTAAATAATAGTGATTTTAACTAAACTTTAAAACAAATTGGTACTTCAACTTTAAGAAAATAATATTTTTAACTAAAATTAAATAGTTTAAAACTTTCAATAAAAACTTTAAATAATAAAACTTTTAAAAATTTTAAATTAGTTTAAATAATAGTGTTTATAACTAAACTTTAAAACAAATTGAACACTTCAACTTTAAGAAAATAATATTTTCAACTAAAATTAAATAATTTAAAACTTTAAATAAATAAAACTTTTAAAATTGTAAATTAATTTAAATAATAGTGATTTTAACTAAAATTGAAAACAAATTTAAAAATTTAAAACAAATAATAGTTTAAAACTTTCAAAAAAAGCTTTAAATAAATAAAACTTTTAAATTTTTTAAAGAGAAATTCCTAAAAATAGCCCTAAAACAAGTTTTATTGACAATAATAGCACACACTCCATAAACTTCCAAAAATAGCACTAGTTAACTTATTATTAGTGTTTTTGATCTAAAAATTTTATCACTAGTTTTTTTTTCAATAATGCCACAATTTTTATATAAAAGCTATTCAACAAAATAAATTAGAAATAAATTTAAAATATTATATTTGGGTTCTCTATTTCCAATTTAGGATATATATTTCCACCATTTAAAAGAAATTTTGATTCATTTTAATATTAGTTTATGGTATTATATTTGGGTTCCCTATTTCCAATTTAGGGTATATATTTCCACCATTTAAAAGAGATTTTTATTTTAATATTAGTTTGTGGTATTATATTTGGGTTTCCTATTTCCAAATTAGGGTATATATTTCTACTATTTAAAAACAATTTTGATTCAATTTAATATTAGATTAGTGTTTACTCTCTTTTCTATTTTCTATCTTATATTTTCATTAAGTTAAATTGAAGTTTATGGTGCTATTTGTGGAACTTTTTAAATGAGGTGATATTTTTGGAAAAAACAACTTTTTTGGGGCTATTTGTGTCAATCTCTCTTTTTTAAATTTGTTTAAATAATAGTGATTTTAACTAAACTTTAAAACAAATTGAGCACTTCAACTTTAAGAAAATAATATTTTAACTAAAATTAAATAATTTAAAACTTTCACTAAAAACTTTAAATAAATAAAACTTTTAAAAATTTTAAATTAATTTAAATAATAGTGATTTTAACTAAAATTTAAAACAAATTTAACACTTCAACTTTAAGAATATAATACTTTTAACTAAAATTAAATATTAAAACTTTCACTAAAATCTTTAAATAAATAAAACTTTTGAATTTTTTAAATTAGTTTAATTATTAGTGGTTTTAACTAAATTTGAAAACAAATTTAACACTTCAACTTTAAGAAAATAATATTTTTAACTAAAATTAAATAGTTTAAAACTTTCACTAAAAACTTTAAATAAATAAAACTTTTAAATTTTTAAATTAGTTTAAATAATAGTGATTTTTAACTAAATTTGAAAACAAATTTAACACTTCAACTTTAAGAAAATAATATTTTTAACTAAATAGTCTCAAACTTTCACTTAAAACTTTAAATCAATATAACTTTTAAATTTTTTAAATTAGTTTAAATATTAGTGATTTTAACTAAACTTTAAAACAAATTTAACACTTCAACTTTAAAAAAAAAATATTTTTTAACTAAAATTAAATAGTTTAAAACTTTCACTAAAAACTTTAAATAAATAAAACTTTTAAATTTTTTAAATTAGTTTAAATAATAGTGATTTTAACTAAACCTTAAAACAAATTTAACACTTCAACTTTAAGAAAATAATATTTTTAACTAAAACCATGTTAATTTCACTAAAACTTTTTAAAAATTTGTTTAAGTGTTAAATTTGTTTAAGTGTTAAATTTTAAACACGTCGAAAACTAACCGCGCCTACGCATCCCGTCCTTAGTTGGTCCGTAAGTTTTGTGGTGTTCAAAGTTCGGCATGTTTTCATGTTATATAGATTTAACACTTAAACTCATTTTTAAAAATAATAGTGATTTTGACTTTAAAAATTTAAAACTCTAACACTTAAAGAAAATAATGTTTTTAACTAAAATCATGTTAATTTTACTAAAACTTTTTAAGACTTTGTTTAAGTGTTAAATTTTAAACACGTCAAAAACTAACCGCGCCTAGGCATTCCGTCCTTAGTTGGTCCGTAAGCTTTGTGGTGTTCGAAGCTCAGCATGTTTTCACGTTATATACATTTAACACTTAAATTCATTTTTAAAATAATAGTGAATTTGACTTTAAAATTTTAAAACTTTAACACTTAAAGAAAATAATGTTTTTAACTATATAATGTTTTCACGTTATATAGATTTAACACTTAAACTCATTTTTTTAAAAAATAGTGATTTTGACTATAAAAATTTAAAACTTTAACACTTAAAGAAAATAATGTTTTTAACTAAAATATTGTTAATTTTACTAAAACTTTTTAAGAATTTGTTTAAGTGTTAAATTTTAAACACGTCGAAAACTAACCGCGCCTAGGCATCTCGTCCTTAGTTGGTCCGTAAGCTTTGTGGTGTTCGAAGCTCGGCATGTTTTCACGTTATATAAATTTAATACTTAAACTCATTTTTAAAAACAATAGTGATTTGACTTTAAAAATTTAAAACTTTAACACTTAAATAAAATAATATTTTTAACTAAAACCATGTTAATTTCACTAAAACTTTTTAAGAATTTGTTTATGTGTTAAATTTTAAACACGTCGAAAACAAACCGCGCCTAGGCATCCCGTCCTTAGTTGGTCCGTAAGCTTTGATGTTCGAAGTTCGGCACGTTTTCACGTTATATAGATTTTAACACTTAAAAATAATAGTAATTTTGACTTTAAAAATTTAAAACAAATTTTACAGCCTTTTCAACACTTTTATAGAGTGTCAAAAGGCTGAAGAGAACATCAACAAAATCTCTACAAGCCTCAGCCAAAACAACCTTATTTTTCTCTTCATCAACGACAAGTCTCAAAAGTAAACTTAGGCTCCGCAGTACTTAAAGCCATTTCATATCAGATAAACCTTTTTAGAAAACTACAACGTCTTGCAAAAGAAAACAAAACGAGGAGTACCAAAAAAGAATTAAACAGAGTATGTAACTAAAACAGTCAGATGCTACTATAGTAACTGAAACAGTTACATGCTACTCAAAAGAGTAGACAAAGTCATGTCCAAAAAAACTAATATAGTAATTGAAACAGTTAGATGCTAAACAAAAGATTCTCTAGTGATCAAATCTAGCAAGAACATGAACTTTCGGTTTGAACATTGCTTCTCAAGTCTCAGTCTCAGTCTCAGACTCAATCTTCGGCTTCTTAAAGAACCGGCATTGAGGATCACTTGTTGAAGCTGATTCTATAGCTAGCAGACCAGTGCTTAAGGCAGATGATGTCACCATTGAAGCTCCCAATAATCTGATGGCCTGCAAATGCATATATAAGATCGATGAATGTAAATATGTACGTTGCAATCAAAGAAAGAATCTCTTTGACAAGCTTTTTACCTCTTCTTTTGTCATATTGATCACTCGAATTTCCACTTCGTCTAGTCGGGTCTGTTTCTCCTTTAAGAATCCAATGGTTGAGGTTGAGTTCGAAGGAGTGATGATCAGATCATCTGTCACCATGAACTTTGTCCCTCTCTTCACAAAGCCACTTGATTCAGCAGTGTCGTTGCCTTCGGTTTTTGGATCTATCGAAGTCACAGGCACGAGTTTATCCCAGTCATAAACAAGTCGCTTACCAGAGTTTTCAGACAGACAGTACTCTCTAAAATGATCCACAGAGAAGGATACAAAACGGTAATAAGTAGGTGGCTGATGGGTAGTGACAACCTCATTTAGCAGCTGCTTCTGACACTTGTAGTAATGAGGAAGAACACATTTAAAAGCTGAAGCTTCTCTTCCGGAATCAACACTCAAATCCTTGAAGCTTTTGCACAAGTTTCCAATGCATCCAAGGATGATTCCTCTGCCCGAGATTTCCCATACAGATTCCAGAGGCATAGCAAGAAAAGAGAAAAGAAGATCAACCTTATAGAATGCTCCCACATTCAACATATAGAATGCTCCCTTCTTCCTTCCTAACATATGCATTCAGCGTTATCGTTTGATCAGCCTTTGTTTCCTCTCTATCCTCACTGAGAGAAGGACTCGGCCATTTATGAATCCTCTTCATACCACATGAGCTTTTCTTTTTCAGAAATGTATCGCTCAATGGAGTATCCGATGTGAATAAACACACCAGCAAAGTCGCTACCTAAAACATTTACAAGAAACTGGCTTAAGAACATGAAGGGTAAAGTCTAGTAGTAGTAGTAGCAGATGAAGAAACATACCTCTTGGAGATTAACCTCGAGAATCATTTCAACCAACTTATCACAATCTGCATAGCCAAGATCTTTAAGAACATTAAGTGTTGACCCAACAGAGTTAACTTCCACTTTCAAATCATCAGTGATTATGAATGAAGTATGACCACTCCTCACAAATACTCCACCTTCAACACCTTTTCCCACGCTTCCTCGGCCTCCTTCTCCTTGAAACTGAATCACTGCATCCATCAAATTCCCACAGCTACACCTCGAGGTATTAAAATTGCTATACCCTTTACTACATTGTCCGCTTCGCACAAACATAGGGCACATGAAACATTTAGTAGCCTCGGAATCATCAATCTTCAGCTTAATCTTTTGACATTTCTCCTGATTCAAACTCCCCGGATACAAAAGCATTTGCTTGCAAGCTTCAGTACTGAAATGCTTCATTCCCATACTCACAACACTCCCATAGATGTTGTTGAAACAACCTACAGCTACTGCCTGTGACTTCTGATGCATCTCCAGCAATCTAACAATTGTTCCCATTGGCAAAGTCGAAAAGCTAAAGAGTATATCCACGAAATCTCTACCAGCCTCAGCGAATACAACTTTGTTTTTCTCTTCATCTATGAGTAGCTTCAAGTTAATCACCGAATTCTCCAAATCATCTGACATGTTTCGATACAAAATCTGCATTTGATACAAGTTAAAAACAAGGTTCAATGTTTTACACATACAGATCAATCGAGCCATGACCCAAAATCAGAGCCATGTTTGAGACAAAATTTGCATAGATACAGTTTAAAAGGTAAGATTTTTACACATGCAGATCAATCTACAATATTTAATCGGAAATATCATGAACAGGATCTGGTACCCAGAAAACGAACAAGGCGGATTCGGTTCGTATGCGCTAAAATACGCAATGAGGCTAACAATGAACAGAAATCTCAGAAGAAGATAGACTAATGTCGCAAAACAAAAATGTTTTTTTTTTCGCTCAGAGACAGAGGAAACTACAAAACCGATCGATTCCTGGGAAAAACTTGCGTTGTAGATTCTTGAGAAAATCCAAGAAAACAAGAGAGAAGAGAAAAGAAGAGGTCCGTATGAACAACATTCAACAAAACGAGCAGAATCGCTACGAAAGATTGTACCTTTTCTTCTTTATTGTTGAAATTTGACAGTGAATTGGGCAATTGTTCTCTCTCGATAGTCGATAGGACTTAGGGTTTGTAAACAGTGAACCTCGAGGAAGAGGAGCAGTGGAGAGAAGCGGGAAAATATATACTATTAAGGTTTTCTCTATTGTTAATGAAAGATTGATAATGGATTTTACTAGATTAGTGGATTTAATATTTCGGTTTCTTAAGAATTAGATATATACTTTATAGAATTTTCCATGCATCAATAGCCATGTTTTAAAAATCGCTAGGCGCTAGTCGGGCGCTCGGGTCGGGCCTAGCGCCTAGCGAAGAAATCGGAGATTAATCGAGGATTAATCGGGGATTAGTTTTAGGGGTTTTTTTGGTAAACAATCTATAAATGAAAGTTTTGCATACGTTACCAAGTTATAATCGTGGTCTAGTGGTTTATGATGGAGTTTTTCCTTCTCGTCACAGGTTCAATTCCCAACCTACACACCATTATTCATTTTTTTCATTTTTGTTTAAGGAAGGGTAAAACAGTAATTTGAAGTGTTATCTTCTTCAAAGAGATCCAACTCTAAGAACCCTAATTTGCGGCGGCCATGGATATGTTTTTATAAAATCAATCATTTTAATGTGGTTTTGTTATCTTTTATACCAAAAACTTATAGATCTAACACATATTAACTTAATCCATATTTGAAAAAGAGCAAAAACTGAATTTTTCTTAACTAATCCGATTAGTTGACCGATTACACCAAAATCCCGGCGGTAAGGTGCCGCCGAGCGACTAGGCGCTGTGGAATCGGCCGATTTGGCCGAGTTTTTGAACAGGGATCAATAGTAGTATATTTTATAGGATTTTATTTGGAATAATATTTAATTTTGTATAAAAACACTATGAGAAACAATTATAAGCCTAAAACATACACTTAATTTCGTATTTAGGAGTGATAAACATTTAATTGGGCCATCATGGGTCGATAGTGAACTTCTCAGCCCAATTAAAACCGGATCGTTGAGAGTCACAATAACGTCGTCGTTTAAGTCTGAGCTCTTCTCTCAAGAGTGAGAGGAGCTATCAGACAGAACTCAGAATGGACTAAGTTTTCAAGTTTCAATTTTTTTTCTGAATCGAAATCAAATTGAGTCTCTCTAATCTCTGGCAACCATAAACAAATGGTTGTTCACCGTATAATACCTTCCAGAATCTCCCGCTTAAAAGACCCTCTCACTCGTTTTAAACCTCTCAAAACCTTGACAACATCTTCATCACCAGCTCCCGAATCAGAACCCTCGTCGTCGTCTTCGTCTTCGTCTTCGTCTTCTGATTCAGATTCTTTCTTGGTGGAGAAGATATGTTTCAGTTTGAAGCAAGGTAATAGTAATGTGAGAAATCACCTGATTCGGTTAAACCCTTTAGCCGTCGTTGAGGTTTTGTACCGTTTCCGTAATGATTTAAGTTTAGGGCAAAGATTCGTGGATCAATTAGGGTTCAATTTTCCGAATTTCAAGCATACGTCTTTATCTTTAAGCGCAATGATTCATATTTTGGTGAGGAGTGGAAGATTATCAGATGCACAGAGTTGTGTTCTTAGGATGATTAGGAGGAGTGGTGTTTCTAGAGTAGAGATTGTTAACTCCTTGGTTTCTACGTATAGTAACTGTGGTTCGAATGATTCGGTTTTCGATTTGTTGATTAGGACGTTTGTACAAGCTAGAAAACTTAGAGAAGCATATGAGGCTTTTACATTGCTGAGAAGCAAAGGTTACACGGTTTCTATCGATGCGTGTAATGCTCTTATCGGGAGCTTGGTGAGGATTGGGTGGGTAGAATTGGCTTGGGGTGTTTATCAGGAGATTTCTCGGAGTGGTGTTGGTATTAATGTTTATACTCTCAATATCATGGTTAATGCATTGTGCAAAGATGGTAAAATGGGAAAAGTTGAAACTTTTTTATCAGAAGTGCAAGAGAAAGGAGTTTATCCGGATATTGTAACATATAATACGTTGATTAGCGCATACTCTAGTAAAGGTTTCATGGAAGAGGCGTTTGAGTTGATGAATGCTATGCCGAGCAAAGGGTTTAGTCCTGGTGTTTATACTTATAATACTGTGATAAATGGACTGTGTAAGCATGGGAAATATGAGAGAGCCAAGGAAGTTTTCGTGGAGATGTTAAGATCTGGGTTGAGTCCTGACTCCACTACCTACAGATCACTGCTGATGGAGGCTTGTAAGAAGGGAGATGCGGTCGAAACGGAAAATATATTCAGTGATATGAGATCTAGGGATATTGTTCCGGATTTGGTTTGCTTTAGCTCAATGATGAGTCTTTTTACTCGGAGTGGAAATCTCGATAAGGCATTAATGTATTTTAACAGTGTGAAGGAAGCTGGTCTGATTCCTGACAATGTTATCTACACCATTCTAATCCAAGGTTATTGTAGAAAAGGTATGATCTCTGAAGCTATGAATTTGAGAAATGAAATGCTTCAGCAGGGTTGTGCTATGGATGTTGTTACCTACAACACCATTTTGCACGGCTTATGCAAACGGAAAATGTTGGGTGAAGCGGATAAATTGTTCAACGAAATGACTGAAAGGGGTTTATTTCCAGATTCTTATACTTTAACTATACTGATTGATGGACATTGTAAGCTCGGAAATCTGCAGAACGCAATGGAGCTCTTTAAAAAGATGAAGGAAAAGAGAATCAAACTCGATGTTGTGACATACAACACTCTGTTAGATGGGTTTGGTAAAGTAGGCGATATCGATACAGCAAAAGAGATATGGGCAGATATGGTATCAAAAGAGATACTTCCCACTCCAATATCTTACAGCATTTTGGTTAACGCTTTGTGTAGTAAAGGCCATCTTTCTGAAGCATTTCGAGTTTGGGATGAAATGATCAGTAAAAGTATAAAGCCAACGGTCATGATTTGTAACTCAATGATAAAGGGATATTGCCGTTCTGGTAATGCCTCAGATGGAGAAAGCTTTTTGGAGAAGATGATCTTGGAAGGTTTTGTGCCGGATTGCATCAGTTACAACACATTGATATACGGTTTTGTTAAAGAAGAAAACATGAGCAAAGCTTTTGGTTTGGTGAAGAAGATGGAGGAGAAGAAGCAGGGAGGATTAGTACCTGATGTCTTTACTTACAATTCGATCTTACATGGGTTTTGCAGACAAAATCAGATGAAAGAAGCCGAGGTTGTACTTAGGAAGATGATTGAAAGAGGGGTAAATCCTGATAGATCAACGTATACTTCTCTGATCAATGGATTTGTTTCTCAAGATAACTTAACCGAGGCATTTCGGTTTCACGATGAGATGCTGCAGAGAGGATTCTCTCCTGATGATAAATTTTGAATCAGTTGCTTTTGAAGTCTGTGGCTTTACTCTACTTGAGTGTCTCCAAGCTGATCCTAGATTGAGTTGATATTGATGCTTTTTGGTCAAAGGACCAAAGATGTGTGTCACTGCAGAAGCTCAAGGAACTTGACTTTCTTGAATAGCAAAATGGTCCCCGTACTTTATAACATTTCATATTAGACCTCAGATTATTGTAATCTACCTTCAACATTTATACTTTTTATACGCATACGTTTTTTTTTTTTTTTTGATATTACCAAATATTGTTTTATTTAGTCAAATTATGAATCAATAATACATAAGTAAAATATATGAAAGTTGAAACAGAGGTATTAAGGTTTATATGTTTAAATTCTAAGCACAAGCTATTTGAGTATTTTCCATTTAGTACAACATAACCAAGAAATAATAGTTGTTAAATAAATTGAAAAGTAAAATGGAAAAGAAAGGGTAGCTGCTAAAAGGAGATGTCGGTGATGACGGTGGGGACGGAGAACAAGTGAACAACCTCCGTACGCGTTTGTTCTATCATACGTGAGTTGTATTATAGCAGACAACACAATATTCTACGTACCAATCATATTAAGAAAAAATAATGGTTTCTTAATAATAAATACTTTTGAAACTATGAATCGGAATGTTAATGAGAATTGTTAATTATTACTTATATAGCTTTATTCAACATCCGTATATGAAACTATGAATCAGAATTATGGGATATATAGAATTTGCCAACCCTAACAAGTAACAACAACCATCCCAACTACGAACCTTTAGTTTTCAGGTGTAGGTGAGAGATTTTGACTTCCCCTTCAAAGTAAACAAAGTGGAGAGACTTGAAACTTCAACGGTGGAAGTTCCACCTAAATGGCGCGTGGCCCCCATTCGCAACCTCTTTCTATGATTCGTAATATATCATATATTATATTATACACGTTGACATATACTCCATTTTTGTGTGTCTCTGTCCCGATATCGGTTCTAGAGAATGGGTCAATTTTGAGTCTCGAAGTCCATTTTTAAAAGCGTGTTATGATGTCGACTAAAAGTCCAAAGGTTTCTAGTGAGTCTGGTCCATTTTGAGCTTTTTGACGTCACCGGAGTTCGAACTCCACTTCCTCTTCTGTTGTTTCGAATGTTAAAAATAATTTCGTTTGGAAAATCGGTTTACGAGACAAGAGAATTGGTTGCGAAAACGTGGAAAATCGCGGTTCGGAGTGTTATATGGTCTTGAGACCAGAACATAAAGTTGTACTGTGGATTCTTCCACTAAACTATATATAATTAATAAGTAGTAATTTGTATGATTGGCTTTTAATTGTTTCAAAGTCCATCTTCTTAGGTACGTTACCATCTTAAAATCCTACATTACAGGTTGATGAATATACATTGTAGTTTTCGACGGTAATAACAGTTTCTTATACATAACGTTTTTCTTTTGTTACTATCGCCTATAGGTCAGGTATCAGATCAATGAGTTCGAAATTCTATCTATATCAATTATTTTCAATTTTTATAGCTCTAAAATCAATTTCAAGTAGAACGCATTTGTGATTAATTTATCGGTAAGCTTATAAGCTTATGGACTGATTTTACCGGATTAAGCAATTAATTATGTTGGTTAACAATAGAACTAATTACAATTCGAGCTCAGAAGTAAAGAATAAAATAGCCTGATACTCCGACTCAAAAGTTACATAATAATTATTTTTATTAACTTTGGTGGAACTCTAACGGTTACCAAACTAAGTGGGTTAAAGTATTTTTTAAACATGTAAACAAGTCTTTGAGACGTGTCTATTTGTTATCGAGAATCTTGGAACTGAGATAGTTGGGGGTATACAAAACATAGTGGTTAAAAAAAAAATTTGTTATCGAGAATCTTGGAACTGAGATAGTTGGGGGTTTACAAAACATAGTGGTTAAAAAAAAAAAAACAACACCACTTGGTATAAAACGCTCTACGAAAAACGCAAGTAATCGTGTATTAATGCATTTAGTTTTTGTATAGTAGTATTTGAATTTTATTCGGTATGGGGTATCATATTAATCAAGATCTAAATGAAAAGGACGTAGGAAGAGGACAAAACAATTTGGGAAATCGAGCAACGTTCGAATTTATCCTAAAGGCCTTTCACTTTTAATACTCAAAACATTACACAAAGGCCATCATTGTTATATTGTTTCACATGTCATTAGCCATACTCTTTTTTTTTTCTTAATTTTTAGCTTTATTATAAGTTTCTTACCCATATTGTCTGCACCATTATTCAATCGATTTTTGTTTAAGGGAATGAAATTTGACAACGTTTTTTTTTTTTACTTCTTTTAAGAGAAACGAATTATTATCTATAAATGTAGAGCTTAATCCTTCACAAAATGTCACTATATAATATGGAACCGTATGATTTATATACGAAAGGAAACCCTAACAATTTAATTATTAGCTACACGTAACCTCTAGCGTATAGTGATTTAATTTTTCTACTTTGTTCTTAGAAAGGAAAAGATAAATGCGTGATCAGTAATGTGACGGACTAACTAATTGTTGAATAAAGTAACAAAATTAAATAGCTAGTAGCTACTGAGTTTATTTAAACTGCCTTCTTTTTAGGATTCTATAACATTAAGAAATAAGGAAAATTGACTGCATGATAAACACACTTGCTATTTTTATGCATAAGCTAGTGTTTTTAATGGAATTGGTCAGTCTCTACGTTAACTAGTCTAGTAAGTATTGGTTAAAACACTTAAATCTAAAAAAGAAAGTTGACATAAATAATTCAATCTGATGCATTAAAATCCATACTTAATTTGGAAGGACTTTGAATACTTCAGAATAACCCTCTTTTTAGATATACTAGTACTGATGAGCGCTGCTAGAATTAATTACATTTCATTTTAAATAGTACTCCCTCCGTATTTTAATAATTGTCGTTTTAGAATTTTTATTTTTTTGAATTAGATGTCGTTTTCAAATTTCAATGCAAAATTTCTTACTTTTTAATGTTTTATGATGTCATAAAACATTAAAAAGTAATAAATTTTGCATAAAAATTTGAAAACGACATCCAATTCAAAAAAATAAAATTTCTAAAACGACAGTTATTAAAATACGGAGGGAGTAAAACACATTACATATACTGATATACTATTCAATTTTATTATATATAATAATATAAAATTTAATAGGTTTAATATCTAAAGACGGTTAATTCACCAAACCCAACAAAAGGAAGAAGAGTGGTTATGATATGGAAAATTTTGTGTGATTTGATTTTTATCGTACGATAATTTATATAGATATCGCAAAATATCAATGCAATGATCTTATTTAGGTGATCGCAATAATTACATTTCACTGAATCTCGATGTATATATCAATTAGAGAGATTTCAGTTTAAATAAAACTGATTCTTAGTTAGAAAATTTTAAATATTGGAAATTAGATAAAACTAATTACACTTATCTTTCGTCGACGTGCACAAACTATTGACTTGTGCATACTGTTTACTTCAATAATAACACCAAATCTAAAACAGTTATACGAATTACGAAATGTCGAATTTAATACTAACAAAATCATTAATATGCAAATCTGTTGCTTTCTAAATTCTACGTGTCTAGTAGTTACTAGTTAGGCAAATGCAATGAATTATATTTAACGAATCCAATATCGTTAAAATATGAATGATATTTAACTAAAATAAAAAGCAGTAATTATCAACTACGTCTCGAGACGTTATCAACCAAAAAAAAAAAATACTATACTTTCGTGACTTTTATTACTTTTTAAAAAAATCAACATACGTCAAGACTATATAATTTGGTTGAAGATATTTAAAAACAAATTTATAACTAGAAAATATTTCGATGTATAAATTCTGATTAGTTCTTAGAAGCAAATTTACAGTTGTACACCAATGATTAATAACCGAACATTTTACATGTGAATTAAAGAAAACTCTGAATAACAAAGTAGGCATAACAAAAAAAAAAAACAAAAACAAAGTAGCATAAAAACGACTTTTATTTTCCACAGAAAAACGACTTTTTAGCTTTATATATAGCCCATGTAAAATCGTCCTAAATATATTGGAGAAGGAAAGAGAGAGAAAAAAAAAGAATTCGAGAGAGATTGTTTTGTCTGCTCGGCCTGAGATCACGCTGAGTTATATAAATAGAAGGAGAAGAAGAAACCCAAAGTTTCAACAATGGAGAATCTTCATTGATTCCAAAATATCTCCCTGACAATTTTTTTTGTTTTGTTTCATTCGTTTTCATTTCCTAAAATCCCCTGTTTTTCCCGGCGGCCACATGTCAGTCGGCGTTCCGGTGAATCCGTCAAGCAGCAGCCAATTACCGGCGGCGCCAACAACAACAAGACGGCGCGTGGCTGATTCTCAAGAAGATCATTCCCACGTCAACACCGTCGGAGGAGGAAACGCAGTCGTTTACGTCCCCGACGAGGAAGAAACCGCTACGAGCTGCGGCGGCGGCGGAGGAGGATCATCGTGTTGTCCTAGTGGCTCCCACCACAATTACCTCGTCGGGTTCCTCTCTCTCCGTAAATTCAGGCTCGTGTGGATGCTAATGGTTGAAAACAAATCTAAATGGACGGCTGGGATTGCTCGTAACATGAGATCCACGACCAATATTGGCCGGTTGATTCTAACGTTATTGACTATCCTCGTCGTAACTTTTTTCCTCATCGTTGCTCTCTCCGGCGGCGTTCAACGACGGAAAAGACACGTGGAGAAACATGAATTCGTTGTTTCAATTCATCCAAGACCAACCATTGAGAAAATCATTAGAGAAGATGAATCATCCAATTCCTTTCAAGTCCTCGTTCCAAAGACTAAATCGGTATGCTCATTTTACCAAGAACAGAGTCAACAAAAGTTTTTTTTTTTTGAGAAAAAAACCGAACCATGTTTAGATTCTGTTCATGTCGACAAAAATTCGGAGCTGAATCTTATGAAAAAATAACAAAAGTGAATTTATTTTTTTTAATTTTGTGTTTTTCCTTATTAGTGGATTAGTTTTCGTAAAAGGAATTTCCTAAAGTTCGTTAGAAAATATTAAATAGATTTTTTTTTTCGATAATGCAAAGTCTTCGTGGGTCTGCTCCATTCGACATTGAATTTTCTAGCGGTTGACTTCATTTATTTATTTATTTAATAACTAATCCAATATTTATCCTCAGCTAATCATATCATAACAGCTTATAAAACATCAACTTGTTTGTTGGCCCATTGGGCTTTTGTTCATTAGCAAATCGTTGTTGTGAACTAATTTTGCTTTTGTGGCAATGTTTTCCAACAGATCCCAGAGATTTGGAATCAACCAGAGACTGGGAACTATCAGAAATGTGTAGCTCGTCCTAAGAACCAAAGTAAGTTTTTCCTCATTTCTTCTCTTCATTTCCGACGAAAGCCAAGAAAATTCAGACCTAAGTAATCTGTTTTTTTTTCTGCGTTTAGGACCAATCAAGCAAACCAATGGTTACCTTCTTGTTCACGCCAATGGTGGTTTGAATCAGATGAGAACTGGTGTAAGTCTCTTCTTCTTCTCTGTTTTATGTTTCCAGCACAAGATTTTCTCAAATCCTCACTTAATTTCTTCTTCACAGATATGTGATATGGTCGCAATCGCTAAAATCATGAACGCAACTCTTGTTCTTCCGTTTCTTGACCATTCATCTTTCTGGAGTGATCCAAGGTACTAACCATCATCATCAAATCAACATTATCATCATCATCATCATCATAATCTAATTAAGCTCTCTTTTCAGCTCGTTCAAGGACATTTTCGACTGGAAACATTTCATCAAAGTACTAGCAGAAGATGTCAATATTGTCGAGTATTTACCGCAAAAATTTGCTTCGATCAAGCCTCTTGAAAAGAATCCTGTGTCCTGGTCTAAGGTAAATCTTTTTATTTGCTTTTTAACTTCTCTGTTATCTCTTTCGGTTATTCAGTGATTTAAACTAACTCTGTAATGGTTTGATTGCGTGCAGTCGAGTTATTACAGAAACTCAATCTCCAAGTTACTGAAGAAGCATAAGGTGATTGTATTCAATCACACTGATTCTCGGTTAGCGAACAACAGTCCGCCTCCTTCCATCCAGCGGCTTAGATGTCGCGCAAACTATGAAGCTCTTCGCTACTCTGAGGATATAGAGAATCTAAGCAATGTTCTAGCTTCAAGACTTAGAGAAAACAACGAACCCTACCTCGCTCTTCACTTGCGGTACAAGCTACCACTATTACTCTCTCTCACTCTATTGAATGATGCTGAGAGAATCATCAATTAATCGAAATTTTCTTTTTAGGTACGAGAAAGATATGTTGGCTTTTACTGGATGCAATCACAGTCTATCCAATGAAGAATCGAATGATCTTGAGGAGATGAGGTATAATATTCCACACTGGAAAGAAAAAGTGATCAATGGTACAGAACGGCGTCTTGAAGGTAATTGCCCTATGACGCCGCGTGAAGCTGCCGTCTTCCTCAAGGCGATGGGGTTTCCTTCGACTACGAATATCTACATTGTTGCAGGAGAGATCTATGGTCAGAACAGTATGACTGCGTTCCACGAAGAGTTCCCAAACGTTTTCTTTCACTCTACATTGGCCACCGAGGAAGAGCTTTCGACTATTAAACCTTACCAGAACAGATTAGCTGCTCTTGATTACAATTTAGCACTCGAAAGCGACGTATTCGCTTATACTTATGATGGAAACATGGCGAAAGCGGTTCAAGGTCATCGCAGATTTGAAGGCTTTAGAAAAACGATTAATCCTGATAGGTACGACATATGTTTCTTGCGTGTAAATTAAAGAAACCCTTTTCCAGTATCGATGCACTTAAAACTGACATTGTACCGTGGTTTTTTCAGGCAAAGATTCGTGAGATTGATTGATCGGCTCGATGCAGGACTCATATCTTGGGAAGATTTCTCGTCGAAGGTTAAGAAACTACATCAGAATAGAATAGGAGCACCGTATCTTAGGCGGCCAGGAAAGGCAGGCTTGAGTCCAAAGTTGGAGGAGAATTTTTATGCTAACCCTCTTCCAGGTTGCTTGTGCGATACGTCTGAGGAACAATCAAGCCTTAACCGGTTTGAAAGACCAAGTCTACGAGCACAATCTCTGAGATAAGAGGTTTCAATTCAACGATTTTTTTCATTAATTATACGCACATACACAACGGGATCACCTAATTTTTGTTTTTTATTTTCTGTTCATTTATAGATTAGGTTTTTTTTTAAGTATTCTAATTATAGTAGGAAATTAGAGAAATATAAGCAAGATTTGTGAACTCAGCTATCAATACCAATCATTGCCTATACAGATATGGGTATAGACAATTTTAACCCACTAGTTTAGAAGCAGTGACTTTGAAAGTTAAATTCGAACTCTGCTTAAGCCTGAAAGCAATAAATCTCTAGATCGAGGAAGGGGACCAGTGGAGACAATACACATTCCACTGTTACTCTCCTCTCACTTTCTTATCGGTCAAGATAGAGAAAAGACACAGAGAAAGATGTCTGAAAGTGGCAACTGATTATAAATGCATTTTGTAGAATTCACGAGAATCCCTTTGCTTTCTCTTTTGGAACAAACTCTTTACTTCAATTCACTCACGTCTCCTCTTACTTGTCCTCAAATGAAATAACAAAAGACAATTGCATTGATCAAGATCTCAGGATCTTAATTTAATACATATATTGTAAGATTCTACATGTGAAAACTCATCTCACCAAATCTGCAACTAACAAAAAAACAAACATAAGAAGAATAAAGAAGGCCACAAGAATTTACATTACAAACAACAAAGACAAATACAACATTCTAAAAAAAACAACCAAACTCTTATCTTTCTGCTACTTCTTCCCTTCTTCATCAACAACATCTGATTTCATGACAACCATGTCCGCTTTTTCGTTAGCACATTCCTCAGGAACTATTGCCATTGACTGCCGATTACCGCATATTGTCCAAAGGTATAACGCTGACATCGCTCCTAAAGTCCCACAAACCGTACCTAAAACCAATGCACCAAGGATTCTCCATGTACATTTTCCTTTCCCCTTAACTTCCACCGTCTTTTCCCCTTCCTTAACAGTCTTGGAAACTTCGTTTGGATCAAGCGGCTGTGAGTGAATCCTCATCGAGGGATGTCTCAGTTTAAAGTTCCATGAATGGAGATAAACTGGCTTTGAAGAGTTTCCATTTGCAGAGGTTAAACCCACCATGAACTTCCCATCTTTCCAAAGCTTAGCCAAGTCTACCAAGTAAGACACAAATGGATCCACCGGCTTTAAGGCAGTAGATAGACTCAAACGAACCTCTATTCTCTTTGAGCTCGCCTCGTAATCAATCCAACAATTCAATTTCTTCTCTCCATTGAAATGGTCACCAAAAGATGATAACTTTCTAACTTTACCAGATTCAGGTCTACCAACTAAGATCCCAACACGATTTCCTCTCTTGGAGATACCAAACTCAACAGCAACAACCTTGTGTTTCAATAAGAACCCTAGACCAGAGGAACTATTACCCTTTCTACCAAACAACCTAAGATCCAAACCTCTTGGAACCATTACAAAAGCCAGGACACTACCAATCTCATCAGGCATCGAAAACGAGAAACTAGTTGAGAATGATCCGGAAAAGTTTCTCTCTTTACCTTGGAACAGTCTGATGGGTTTCTTGTAAATAACTCGCCCTTCACTTCGACTCACTGAGTCAGTCAATTGAATCGATGGACCGCCATTAACGAGCTTCGAATCTCCAAACAGAGCAACATTCTTGTCAAAGCTCGGAGATTTCACAAACCCATTAAACGAAAACGATGAATTTACATCTGTAACAGCCATTGATTGGTAAATCACGAAGCATACAACGAACAGAAAAGCTAGGGTTTTGAAGACCGCCATAGCTGCTGAGCTTGAAGAAACTGGGTTCAAGAAAAGCAAAGGAGCTCTCTTTCTAGGATTCTTGAAATGAGTTCCAGTTTTCAAGAATTTAGGGTTTGGTTTTTTAATTGATGAGTGTGTGGATTTTGGTGAAGCAAAAGGAGAAAGGAAATTAAATAAGAATTAAAGTCATCTTCTTTGGAGGAACCTTGATTCGCTCTCAAACAACAACACTCGTCTCTATATCTCAGTGGTTGCTGAGTAAGGGAAAAAAAAATTCAATTAATGCTATTTCTGTTCTTATACCCACTTCTTTTATCTTCTCTCTTTCGTAGCCCCCATGTTCTAGATTGTGACATTTTAGCCCCACTCTTTTCTATTTTATAAATAAATTCTTGTTACGATAATTTAAATATTTTTATTCAGACTGTAATGACGTTGAATTTTACTAATTTATGACAAAAAAAATTATAAATAGAAAAAAATGATGTATGAATGGTTTTTAAGGGGAAAGTGTTTAAGGTGTTGTTGATTATTTGTCATAATGAGATTAGGTCATTTTTTTAGATAGTGCAAGAAGAAATCATATTTATTGTCTATAAACAAAAAGGAAATAGAAAATGTGGGGTTTAAGATAGAAAAAGGTGGAATTGTTTGGCGAAAAGAAGAAGAAGGAAGAAGATGGAATCTAAAAAGGATTTCTCGTATCTCTCTAATAAATGGAGTTAATTAGTGGACAAACCATTGATGATTATGTTACCGAAATTATTTTTATTTCAAAATGCTAAAAAAAAGTTCAAAGATAAAATGAAATGCAAATGCCCATAACATGCTCGTGGCTTGTCCGGTGGAGTTAAAAATGCTCGCATTAGGCAGAGTTTCTGTATTTATAGTAAAACTTTATGTAATTTTTTTGTTCATTTTAAACTCAATAGTTGAAAAAACCTCGAATTTTGTAAGGTCGAAAGAGGGTGACTTCGACTATAAGAAGTAAGAACCTTCTCCTTTGGCAGCATCTTGTTTATCTTACTAGTAATCAGTATACAGTGAGTTGTTTCTTTCTTTCTTTCATTCTTTGCTCAGGAAACAATTCTAGATTTTTCCAAGTATAGCTATTAAATGGATATTATATTGAACTATGGTTTATTTTAAAGTATATCCATATATCGTCACATGCAGCCTAATAATTAAATAACCACAATAATGTGAGTGGAGGAGGAAATCAATGTTTCATGATCACGGTTCGAGTGTTAGTATTGTCCCAAAATAATTAAATAAGAACAATAATGACTATTGTTATGAATTTTAATGAGATTTCAAATTTAACTTTATGAGAGTACATATAAAGGATGTTTACGAGAGAGGCATATAGAGTAAATTAAATACTGTAGTTTCTCACTTTTGGTTACGTATGAAATGTGGCAAAACACACCGGCGAATATCATTGAGACATAATTAAATGCTTTGTTTGGGCAAATGAAATATAAGAATAAAAAACGAGAGACTGAATACTGAAGATAAATAGAAATAAATTTGGGGTGCATTTATTTCGAAGACTGACAAAAGTACTCGCTGACACTTTGTGCGTTCAATTTAATGTTTTAAACCATGGACCATTAATGCTCTGTCCCGACTCTTGTTACATTTATGTCTTCCACAAATAATCAAATCTATATAAAATCTATACCGACCACAAAATAATTACGTATAAACTTGTAGTTCTCCAAAAAGATTGTTAATTTAAACACTTTTTTTTTGTTTTTTGGGGGAAACAAACACTTTTTATTTAGGTATTAATATTTCGATTGATCTCAGTTCAATATACTAATATAGTGTGAACTGTGAACTTTTAATATGTTTTGTAGGATTAGTTTTTTGGATTTAAGTTTGGTTTTGAAACGTGCTTCAATTTTCGATTTGTTCAGAAACGATGCTATGGGCTTAAAAAAATTGTAGTTATGGTAAGCCCATTATCCGGAAAATTCGGCCCATCTAGTAACTATATATTAATTTAATGAGTATTTACTATTCAGTATTTATGGATCTAAAGCACATCTCTTTTTTGGGAACGATTTATACTACGTTTTTAAAAAAATCGCTGCTGATGATTTTTTTTTTTTTTTTTACTGCTGATGATTTAATTATAACTAACGTATAAATAATATCGGATGCATTCCATTTTCTAACGTTAATCTATATATTAACACAAGATTAAGATTATTTCGTCGGGATATCAGAGATTATTCAGCAAAAGTGGATAAGAAAAAATAAAGTATCGATGCGATAATTTACTACCTAAACCACGTTTGAAATTAAGATGTCGAATACGTATTTACGAATACAAAACAAAACAACAAATGACCGTTATAGAGGGCGCTTCTGTAAAATTATGTGGTTGTTACAATTTAATTAAAATGTTTTTTTTAATTAATCTGTCACTTTTAGATTTGACAGCCGAACGTTGGAATTGGATGCCGAAGAAAATATGACCGTTTAGAAACAATTAAGATTTTCTTACCGTTATGAATATGAACTTGATTTTGTTTTTAAATTAAAAAGTATGGATCATGACCCCTATAAATATACTTATACTTCTCTCATCTTCTTCGTTCAAAGTTCAAATTCTTTTTATTTATTTTCTCCTTTACCTTCAAATGTTTAAAACTCTGGTTTTCGTCTTTGTTTCTTAATATGTTCTACCACTTGAATATCCAACTCAACACTCTTTTTAGTTTTCTCAACTTGCTCGGAGACAAACATAGAGGCATCATCATCGTAGAAGGTGGTAAGACTCTGGTTGGATCGTTTTTTTTTTTTTTGAACTATAGTGTATGATCACATTTTAAATTCAGCTCATATATATGGTTGTTAAAAAAAGTTCATAAGATTAGGGATTGAAATGTTGTTATCTTCATAATTGTTGTATGCATGTGTTAGGAAATAGAAGAAAAATATATAAATTGGTTTTTATATAATGTCTTCTGTTTCTGCCTAAGAAAAACATAGATGCTAGCTATGATAGTAGAACAATTGTTAGTTTTGATTGAAAAACGAATAACCAAAATTAAATGTTGGGTGTTTAATCAGTCTGAAATGTTTTTTCTTATTTATTTCTGGTTTATTTGTAGAGGTTGGAGAAAAGAAGAGGAAATTGGATTGTCATGGAAATTGATATTCGACCCATAGAGTGCAGTGAAACAACAGAGGCTTGATTCGTTTGTGTATTTTATGTACGTGCCTTAGTCTAGAATTTCTATCTTCTGTTTAATTGGTGAAAGAGACTAAATTGCTATGTATTTATAGATGTATGATGTGTAGATGTATGTGTGTATGGATGAGAATGAAAGACTTATGTAATAGATGTATGTGTAGGGATGAGAATGAATGATGTGTAGATGTATGCATAGGGTTTAAAGTTCAGAGCCGACTTGCTCTGATACCAAATAAAGTTCAGAGCCGACTTGCTCTGATACCAATTCAAATCAAGAACACGTTACCCTGACTAAGTTACTGAATGATTCAGAAAGTGATTCAGCAACACGAGAACAAGAGATTAAAGAACAACCTTTCTTTATTGATTTAGAAACTTCACAAAACTAAATCTCTCTAGGTCTTTTGGAACAACTCTCCAAAGCCTTATCTCTTGGGTCTTATGGAACATCTCCATAGCCTCTCTTGTCTCTTTAGGTCTTATGGAACAACTCTCCATAGCCTTATCTCCTCTCTTTAGGTCTTATGGAACAACTCTCCATAAACCTCATCTTCTCTCTTTAGGTCTTATGGAACAACTCTCCATAAGCCACTTCTTCTATATAGAACTTAGCTACCCCTAAGTCTATATGAGTCTCTTCCTCTAGACTCTCATGAGATCTGTCTCAACACCTCCACGTGTCTCGACTCTCTTCTTGAGCTCTCCTCTTGAGCTACACGAGCTCCCCGCTGAGCTACTCTCACGAGCTCCCTCTGAGCTGCTCTCACGAGCTCTCCTCTGAGCTACCCTCTGAGCTACTCTCTGAGCTACTTCGGCTATACGAGCTACTCGAGCTCCTTGAGCTCCTCTGAGCTGTTCGAGCTCCCCTGAGCTGAGCTGCTTCTCTTGTTCTTCATAAGGCTCTTATTTATACTAGAACCAAGCTTCTCCTTTGCCTATTGTGAATAGGAAGACTTACAAATCTTGTCCAACTTGACATTATTTGTATTTCCTTTTCTCTTGATTTCCTTTCTTGGATTTCCTTTCTTGTATCTCTTCTAGCATCTTCTAGAAGGAGATAACTTGCTCCTCAAGTTAGTTGGAATTATCCAACATTCTCCCCCTTAATTCCAACTTGAATTCCGGGAAGCTTGATTCTCGCCAATGCCTTACTAAGTGTGTCCGCCTTCTGCTCCACACCTTGAACATTCTCAACTTCAACCTTTGTTGAGATACGATCTCTTGCTCCTCCTCAGCTTTTGAGATCTTCAAATTTGACATCTTCAAATTTGACTCCATCTTAGTATCCACAAGCATTCCTTGAGCATCTCCCTCTTGTTCTGCTCCTTGAATTACTTCTTGTACTAGTGCTTGTACAACTTCAACGATTCCTTGAACACAACCTTCTTGTTCTGCTCCTTGAATCACGTCTTGTACTACTTCATGTACTACTTCAGCGAGAAGTATTCCTTGAGCACAAACCTCTTGTTCAACTCCTTGAATAACTTCCTGTAGTACTCTCTGTACTACTTCAACGACTAGTACAGAATACCCAAATATCATAACCCGACTTGGTTTGATATTCTCTAGACCCCGACTTGGTTCTAGCATCTCTAGAATCTGACTTGATTCTAGCATCATTAGAACCCGGCTTGGTTCCAATATTGACCAATCATCTACCTTCTTGAGATGCGGCCTCGTGATCACACTTCTTGACCAATCATCTACCATCTTGAGATGCGGCTTCATGATCTTCGTAGCTTTTAGTAAGCTTGAATGACGTTCGGCTTCTCCCCACATATCATTCAGAATCTTCATTAGGTGCCTAGAGACTCCTCCTCTATGCAACCTCGAATCTTCATTAGATGCTTAGAGACTCCTCCTCTATGCAACATCGTAGCTTCATTAAATGCCTAGAGACTCCTCCTCTATGCAACATCAAAATCTTCTTTAAATGCCTAGAGACTCCTCCTCTATGCAATATCATTGAATCTTCATTAAATGCCTAGAGACTCCTCCTCTATGCGTAATCGATTGAACTCCAAACTCTCCTCCTCTATCGGTGCGAAAGGTTTTGATAGACAAGCCGGCTTGCTTCTCTACACACTCTTCAAACCTTTTGTACCGATCGAAAACTTCAATCGATATGTCAACAAGGAACCACCTGTTCTTGTTGATCTTGGCTCGTCTCTCACTTTCATCATAAGTTTTCTGGAACAATCTGGAAACTGTTTCTGGACATACTTACATAGTCTTCAAGGTACTGCGGTACTCCTTGAACTACTTCACCAACCTCATCCTCGTGGTTGTCTTGAGTGATATCCTCCATGACATCATCTTCTTCATGTCCTTCTCCAGCATCTTCTCCGTGAATCAATTCCAAAACTTATATGACCTAACCGAGCATGCCATGTCCTTGTAGATTCATTAGCAATTCATTCAGTCAGTCCTTCAGTGAGTCCTTCAACGAGTCCTTCAGCAAGTCTTTCAGCACGTCCCTCAGCAAGTCCTTCAGCTTGCAGACATGTTGGCTTGCTTATCTCCAAACAACTTGATGCTGACCCGCCTTGTCGCATCGCATCACTTTGGATAAATCCTTCTTCTGCTTTTGGTTGTGATCACCGGTTTCTCCTCCTTGAGATTGCAAGACGGACCTTCCTTGTCCCATGCCTTATCCGGAACTGTCACCTCCAAAGCTTCCTCTACCATAACCAACGTAGTTATAGTTTCCTCTGTTATAACGTCTTCTTGTTATAACCGCCTCTGTTTCCTTCTTGAAACTTCCCGTAGCCTCCACGCTTAGGGTTTGAGGTCCTTGATATTCACTTTGGGTTTCTTACCCAAAACGTTCTTCATACTCCAGTAACCTCCCAACAATGTCTTCAAACCCCATCCGCTTTAGGTCAAGAACTTGCTTCAGGGATGCTACAATATGAATGAACTTGGTTCGTGGTTGTGGATTCTCGCCTGCCATACTTGCTTACGAGTCACGTACCACTGGTCTTGTCTAGAGTCTTCAAACTAAGCTCCGACACACCACAGATCTTGTCCAGAGTCTTCAAACTAAGTTCTGAACTTGTACAGAGTCTTCAAACCAGAAGCTCTGCCATACCACAGGTCTCGTCCAGAGTCTTCAAACCAGAAGCTCTGATACCAAATAAAGTTCAGAGCCGACTTGCTCTGATACCAAATAAAGTTCAGAGCCGACTTGCTCTGATACCAATTCAAATCAAGAACACGTTACCCTGACTAAGTTACTGAATGATTCAGAAAGTGATTCAGCAACACGAGAACAAGAGATTAAAGAACAACCTTTCTTTATTGATTTAGAAACTTCACAAAACTAAATCTCTCTAGGTCTTTTGGAACAACTCTCCAAAGCCTTATCTCTTGGGTCTTATGGAACATCTCTCCATAGCCTCTCTTGTCTCTTTAGGTCTTATGGAACAACTCTCCATAGCCTTATCTCCTCTCTTTAGGTCTTATGGAACAACTCTCCATAAACCTCATCTTCTCTCTTTAGGTCTTATGGAACAACTCTCCATAAGCCACTTCTTCTATATAGAACTTAGCTACCCCTAAGTCTATATGAGTCTCTTCCTCTAGACTCTCATGAGATCTGTCTCAACACCTCCACGTGTCTCGACTCTCTTCTTGAGCTCTCCTCTTGAGCTACACGAGCTCCCCGCTGAGCTACTCTCACGAGCTCCCTCTGAGCTGCTCTCACGAGCTCTCCTCTGAGCTACCCTCTGAGCTACTCTCTGAGCTACTTCGGCTATACGAGCTACTCGAGCTCCTTGAGCTCCTCTGAGCTGTTCGAGCTCCCCTGAGCTGAGCTGCTTCTCTTGTTCTTCATAAGGCTCTTATTTATACTAGAACCAAGCTTCTCCTTTGCCTATTGTGAATAGGAAGACTTACAAATCTTGTCCAACTTGACATTATTTGTATTTCCTTTTCTCTTGATTTCCTTTCTTGGATTTCCTTTCTTGTATCTCTTCTAGCATCTTCTAGAAGGAGATAACTTGCTCCTCAAGTTAGTTGGAATTATCCAACAGGGTTATTATGTGTTGTATAGATGTATGCATAGGGTATAGGGATGAGAATGAATGATGTGTAGACTTATGTAAAGGGTAAGCAAATGCTGAAAATAGGCCCATACAAATCGCATAAACAAAAGTAACAAGACATGAAAAACATAGAAAAACGGTGTATTTTCCCACGAGAAGTATCGCATAACACCAGATAGAGTCTAAACTTTATACCCCGGTCAATAGCTAAATCTCCCTGAATTAATTCACGAATATGGTAAAAAAAAATGCAACAAAGCACAAAAATATTCTAAAACAAAAAAAGGGCACATTATATGGCAAAATGTTATGCTAATTTCGTTGTCATTACTGTTACTACCATTTAATCTGTGACTATTAAAGTCAGTACATTATTGTGTAATTCATAAGGTAAAAGCTAAAAACAGAGAGTAAAAAGTAAAAACATTAAACGCCCAAGAAATAAATAGTCAACAACCACACCTAATCTTCAATCTTGTATCAGAAAAAAGGCGCCTCTTCAAACTCTGCATCTTCTTCACCATCTTGTCTCCTCCATCCACATTTATCTTTTGTCTTCTGTTTTCTCATCCTCGTTTCTATCAATGGTGATCAAATAGATACATCGATGAGAAAACACTGTTAATGGAAGGTAGAGAATTCAGGACACGTGGCTTACAAGAAAAGTAGTAGAGTTGAGCATTAAAGTGTAACCAATGAATGAGCCTTTGAGCTGTTTCAGATGCTTCCTCTCTCTTGTATAGAGAGAAGCAGAGAGAGAGAGAGAGAGAGAGAGCAATAACTATGATCTCGATTTTAACCCACAACATCACATTCAAGACAGAGATCCAAAACCCCACATGGCCTTATTTCCCAATATCAACACATCATTTTACAATTTGCTCTCTCTCTATCTCTCTGTCTTTAAAGAAACCTTTCTTCATTACATTGTTCCTCCTCTTCCTCCTCCTCAATCTCTCTTAAGAAGATGAAGACATCAAGCTTTGTCTTCCTTTTGGTTGTAATAATCTTAAGCTTCTCACTAGCTTCATCTGGTAATCAAATCCTCTTTGTTACTCTATTTCATGCTATTATTGAATTAATTAATGATTAATCACATATTGAAAATGTTTAAAACACACAGAAATGAAACTGAGGTTGGAGGATTACAATTTTCCAGTGGATCCAACTCCGACGACAAAAGCTACGATAAAACCAGGTCCTATTGAGCATGGAACTCCTCTCAATCCTTATATTCCTAAGCCTCCTTCTTCTTCTCCTCCTCCACAACAACAACCTCAAAACGGTGGATAATATCACAAACACCAAATCTTTTAATTTAATTTCTCCGTGACTACACACTATTTGTAGTTAAAATTCCCACGTTTTTTTCTTTCTTTAATCTCTCTCTCTTGTGTTACTAACATTGTCATTTTCTACTCGCTATGTTAATTAATTTCCTTTATCTGCTGCATTTGTCAGCTCGTGTGCTAGTACTGTCCATTTCGGGTAATAACAGAGGTATGGGAATTTCGGCTATTTATATTTCTATTTTGCGGATTCAATCTCTTATATCTGTTTGTATGCATACAAAAATACAATCCAAAACGAACTTTCAAAATTTAAACCAGAATATTAGAAATTATTATTATACTAATAATCTAAACATGGATTAGGTAGGTGGCATAAAATCCCAAATGCAGGTGTCTATTCTCATTGATTTGTAATGATGATGATGGGTTTGAGTCAGAATGACCCATAAAGATAAGATAAGACCAAGTTTTGTTATTAATGGGCCTTAAAGCTAATCGAGAGAGCGTGTGTAATCCTCACGCGACCAAAACTATAACCAACCAACACTAAAACAGTTAAGTCCGGTAACGGTAACGACCACTGTCAAACACTCTCAAGTCTCTCAAGCAATATGCTTATTTGTTTGATTTTCGATTTCATAATTTTTTCAATTTTTTTTGTCCATTGTTAAAATAAGGGGATACAAATACTTTTTAAGTTTCTAATAAATAACTTTTTACAAAAAAAAAAAAAGAAGCATGAAAGAAGTGAATGGTGGCGTGAAAGAGAAGCATGAGGAGAAAGAGAGAGACAGAGCCAAAGGCGGTGGTCCCTAAGCTTAGCCGCACTACGACACTTAGTTCCATCACGTGCCTCCCACGCGCATGATATAATCTCCACCGTCCATAACAGTGACTTTCGATACATGGATGACCAAAATCAACGGTCAGAAACAGATAACAGTAGCTAAAATAACACGAAACACATGCTCTTAAAAAAAACACAAATAACACGATGATACTTAGCGTGCGGATTAGTGAACAATCGAGTATACCAGCTTAAAGCCTGTATTAATGTTTTCCTTCTTCTCTATTAACAAATCAATATTAAAAGCTCTATGTAAATAATGTTTCATCACTTTGGTCCACAGACAGAACAAAAACATAAGTCCTCCAGATGTTTTTTTTTATTCCTTAATCTTTATTTGCTTTTTTAATCTCTTGATCCAAGAGTTCACGTTTACTTGTAACAGAAGTCTTTGTAAATCATATTATACCAAAGTCTGTCTCGTCTTTATTCTCTCTCAAATGAAAAATGTCTTCTTACGAAATCTCTCACATTGATTTGGAAAATGGTTCCGGCGAGCGTCATTACCGTCGAAGTGACGTCAGCGGAGAAGACAGTTCTTCTTGTGATTACGACTATGATTTTCACTCAGCTGTTCGTAGCTTTTGCGGTGAGTTTGAGATTGCTGATGACTTGGACGACCACTCAGTATCAGCCTCAGAATCAGAACCTTCTGATTCAATCGGAGTGTCTGATGAGAAAGATTGCCGGATTTGCCATTTGGGCTTAGAGAGTAGTCGCCACTCGCCATGAATGTGGAGATCCAATGGTTCTTGGATGTTCTTGTAAAGATGATTTGGGTTATGTTCATAAGCAATGTGCCGATACTTGGTTCAAGATCAAGGGTAATAAGTAAGCAAACTAAAACCAATCATTCTTTTTATCTCAATCTTCATTAATCTTTTAAACATTTGTTTAGATTTTACAAAGAATCGTAATGTTTTATGTTAGGACTTGCGAGATTTGTCGTTCGATAGCTCAAAACTTTTCTAAAGTTGACAATGAGATTGATCATACAACGGTTGAAACCAATGTAGATGACGTAGAGGCCGGAAATACATCCACGGTGGTGGCTACAAGCGACTCCGATGATCGGAGATTCTGGAGAGGAAATAGATTCCTTAATTTCCTTTTAACATGTATGGTCTGTGCATTTGTGATCTCATGGTTCTTTCACTTTAACTTGCCTTCAAAACAATGAGAAAGAAGATTAAAATTCCTCTGTTTTTTTCTTTTCTCACATCTTATTTCTTTTGCTTTGTGTGGAATTTGATTCCTGTTTTAGCTTTTTGCACGAGTGCAATCATATCAAACAAGTGGAAAGAACATTCATAATTGAATTTAAAAATCTGAATGGGTACACACTTATTCACATTGGCTTGTACATGTTTTTGTGTGTATTCACAGTTTCTCAAAATAAATATTTTCACAAAGTTAGTCTAATAAGCCTCAAGAGCAAAACCATGTCTAAGTGCTTCTTTAGCTTCAGCTTCCATCTCGAGCTTGAAGAGACAAGCCGCTTGTAAGTAAAGAGGGATTGGCCATTCAGGTGAAGCTACTTGCGCTTGCATCGCATCACTTAGAGCCTCGCTGAACATTTCAGTCATTAGGTAACAAAGACACCTTCTTGCCAATACTGTTGGTGACACCACAGGAGCTCCACTTATGAACTGCAAAAATAATAAAGAATGGATCAGTCCTTCTATTTATACTTGTTGATGATATAGTGTTTAGAGTTGCAGAATGTGTCAATGAAATTATTTACCTCGGTGTAGAATTCAGTGGCGGTATCAAAATCTTTCGCAAGAAACGCGACATCTCCATGCTTCTTGTAGTCCATATTCTCTTGCATTTCACCCGTCCACATTTGGAATGAAAACTGTCACATATATCAGAATCAGTAACATCCAAGTCTCTAATTCAGATAATAAGTAAATAAACATCATCAACCTACCTCGTTACCGACCCCATCATCTTCTGCATACCCAAGTTTCTCTAGCTGTTCGTGTATACTACTTAGATCTGCTCTCGAACACGCATCTCCGAAAGGAGTCAACTTCAATGACTCTTTTGCAGATTTAGTCTTTTCAGGCAGATTGTTTGATGGAGGCTGTCAATTAATATGTGATTTATGAGTACCATTAATTCAAATTTGCATTGTTTGAATATTCTTGATTCTTGAATATGTGGAGAGAGTGACACTTACAGACATAGGTCTTTTGACATTAATAGGACATAACTTGGCTCGTTTCTGAAGTCTAGAAAGAGTCGCCTTAAGAAACTTTATACTTGGCCTCTCTTCAGGTTCACTCTTCAAACATCGAGAAGCTATGTGTATTAGTTCTGTCCTGTCTTCATCAGAGAACTGACCATCCAGAGCTGAATCCATTAGCACCAAATAGTTTTTGCCTCGGAACAAATCAAGTGCCTGCACAAATACCACATTATTAAGATATACATAAAAAAGCTAAGAATCAGTCAAAAATGCAACTTTTGTTACATGGTTTGGAGGAATATGTCTGCCGCTCATAAGATCCAATAACAGAGTTCCAAAGCTAAATGTGACGCTCTCCGGTATTACAGTACCAAGGCGCAAATACTCGGGAGGAGCAAATGCTAAGTTGGTGCTAAAAATCTTCCCTTCATGGCTATTCTTCATGAGACCAAAGCAAGAAAGCTTAGGATTCCCTATCTGTCATTCAAGAACTTGAAAATATAAAGATTTTCTGTTTTTTTTCAAATCAAGAAAAACACAAAACAAAAAGAGTTTAGCATTACCTTATCAAACATAATCCTGTAAGGATTAAGATCATGGTATAAATCTATTCCTTTATCATTACAATACTCCAAAGCTCTTGCGGTATGCAGAGCAACTTTCAACCTCATTTCCCATTTCATCGGTCTTTTCTCCCCTGAAACACACACATTACACTCTTAATCAACCAAAACATCATCAATCAATGAGAGATAAAAAAAAAAAAGGAGAAAGAGATTTTACAGTGAAAAAGATGATTTGCTAATGTTCCATTAGGCATGTATTCAGCAACAAGCAATCTCTCATTGTCATCACAACAACAACCGATCAAATTCGCCATATGTTCACTCCTCAATCTCCCAACAGCTTGTGCTTCATTCTGCAAACAAAGCCCACCATAGATATCAAAAACTTCTTAAGAAACATAATCCAAAACCAAAAACATTAAAGATCAAAAGACGAACGATGAATTCGAAAGGATCAGGCCAAGAAAGTCTTTGAAACCGTTTGACGGCGATGCGACGACCGTCTCCGAGTTTTCCTTTGTAGACGATGTTTGGTACGGAATCGTTGTGCTCTGAGACGACGTTTCCGGCGGAGAAACCGTCGGTGGCGATTCTCAGCTGCTCTAAACTGAACTCACGGAAAATCAACGGATAATGTTCTCCGTCGTCGTCGACATCGTCTCTGACGTTTTCGAGATCATTAATGACCGTTGATGTAATCGACGGTGAAGAAGATGATCGGCGCCAAGACTTGAAGCAAATGCATCCCATTACCGCCGGCGAAATAATATGCTCAGTCTCTCGCGCCTCCAAAATTTCCCTTTTATTTTTTTTAAAACATAATTCTTCAAATAATCAATATTTATTAGCATGTTTGATAATGGTTCGAAAAATTAATAAAATAGTTTTTTTTTAACATGTAATTTTATTAATGATATTTATGTAATTAATAATGGCAAAATAAATGTCAAACGGATATCTGTTGGTTACCCTGTGTCGTTTGTTCATGAATCATGCTTTCCTAAGCTATATATTAAACCGAAGACTATAGTTTTATTGTTAATTTAATACAATTTTATAAATAAATCGTAGTAATAAGACTGGAGCCTCGTAACATGTTGGCGAAGAGCTTCATCAAACCAATTTTTTTTTGTTCGTGACTAAATTATCTGGAAGCTTTTCTATATTATTTTATAGTGGTTAATACTTAATGCCTTAATGGGACGCTCGTTTTGAGAATATAGATGATTTTTTCTTATTTTAAAACAATAAAAAAAACGGGTAAATGGGCTATAAATACACTTTTGGACCTAATGGGCTAAGCAGATAAGAATTAGCCAAAATATAAAATAAACTTTAGCCCAACAATCTTCAAACAAATTCGGCCCGGATCCGGCCCACCCAGATAAAATAAAAGACCAAAAGAGGAAACGTTTCACACATCAGATATTTTATAATCCAAGAGGAAAGTTTGCTAGAATATCAATATGTGGTTGGGGTTATTGTATTGATCAACCTTGTTTATTATATGGTGAACCTGACGAAACTCGAGATTATTTCTTTTTACTACCGAAACTCGCAAAGCTTGCACCGCTCCTCCAACGATGGTTCAAGCCTCTTGCTTGAAATTACTCAACGGTTTTTAAGCTTGCTTTATGTTTTCTAAAATTCTTTGTTTTTTTTGTTCAGTATATGGATGGTTTCACTTGTAAATAACTTTCCTTTACGATCCAATTAATTTAATATTTCAATAAAAAGAAAAGAAAAGAGTTTGCAATCATTTTTCTTTTTTTGGTCAACGTGTGCAAACGTGTTTGAGATTGCCATTTCTGGCTGATTAATAATTTAATATTGATATAAATATAATATACTACTTTTGCAAACTTCATCAAAACTTTGCCACATCTCTACAAATACGCGTAGAGTCTCTCACAAAATCAACAAGAATGCCTCGACTTCATCATTATCTCCGAAATCAAGCCTTCGTCGTCCTTCTTCTCTTCTCTTCCATTGCCTCAGCAGCTATTGTCGAACATGTTCTCCACGTATTTATTCTTATTTCTCCTTCTTCTTTTTTTTGCTCTATAAACTAAACAAAAATTCAAAAGTTACCGATTAAAACCGTATTTGATGGATCTCTAATCTATAACCCCCGAGGTTTAGGTGGTGTTATTGGTTAATGGATTTTAATAGAGTCTAACTCTAACCCAAATCTAATGTTATTGGTTAGTGGATCTTAACTTCTTTATTCAAATCAAGTGTTATTGGTTCTTATATTTATAATATCTTCATTAAAAGAGTTTAAAATCAAGTGTTATTGGTTCTCATATTTCTAATGTCTATATTAAAAGAGTTTAAAATCTAGTGTTATTGGTTCTCATATTTACAATGATCAATTAAAGTTCTGTGTTATTCATGTTTAATAGATTTTCACAAATGATTTGATTTGAAAAGATTTGAATGAATCTGAAACTGATTTCATGTGTAAATTATAGCAATCATAATCTTACCTTCTACCCTGAGATTTTCACAATCATATGAGAATAACCAAAACCCCATTCTTTTCTCTTTTCACGTCTACTTATAAGAATTTACATACGGTGATTAAAGTATATCTCTCTTCATCATTTTTTTTTACTAAAGACATTATACTCATAGCTAGTAACAAGATTTTGTAAAAACTTCAAAACAGTAGAAAAGCATGAAATAAGAAGAAGAAAAAAGATGGACAAAAGTTTGGCCAGATTTTGATTAGATTATAACAATCATTTGTTATAGAATTCAGTTCTGTTACAGAAAACCAAATGAAATCATGTATCATTGATAATACACTTCCACGTATTTGATAAAATGAATATTGATTCATTTTTAATGAGCCCAGATGTTTTAAAATCTGATAAACTCTAATTCTAATGGAATTGACTGTAACTTATACAACCAATAACACCCCCTTAGTGTATTTTATCTCTAGATTATATAAGCATTGTGGTATATAACGAATTAAGCTTGGAATGTTCTCTTTTTGTTTGCATTTGACTTTTTAAACGTATATGTTAGTAATTAAACTGACTTTTTGTTTGCATTTGACTTTTTAAACGTATATGTTAGGCCTATAAGGAGTAAAACTACAATAAATACACACACTACCACAAAGGCGGTTAAACAAAATACTTTTTTTTTTTTAAGTTGCCATTAAATTTTGTAAAACATAGAAAATATAACAATAATAACGACGTCTAAGAAACAGGTCAAAGACGTCATGGTGAAACCGTTATGCAAGGAGCAAATGATACCAACAGTTAACGGAAGTCTTCCGGGTCCAACGATAAACGTTAGAGAAGGCGACACTCTTGTGGTTCATGTCATTAACAACTCAACTTACAATGTAACCATTCATTGGTAATTAAATAACTTATTGATCTAAATTATTATTTTCTAATCTTGAGCGTTGATATCAAATAAATGAATAATGAACTTCTTAGGTGTTAATAAAAGTTATTTCTTGATTTCACACATATATTTGTTTAGGCATGGAGTTTTTCAGTTGAAGAGCGTATGGATGGACGGTGCGAATATGATAACTCAATGTCCGATTCAACCAAGTAACAACTTCACATATCAATTCGATATCACCGGACAAGAAGGTACATTGTTGTGGCACGCACACGTCGTTAATCTACGTGCCACTCTTCATGGGGCTCTAGTCATCCGTCCCCGGTCTGGCCGTCCTTACCCTTTCCCTAAACCCTACAAGGAAGTTCCTATCATTTTTCGTAAGCATTTTCTTTTCTCTTAAGACGAAATCAATTTCGTGACAGCGCCGATTATAGTTGTTCAATATAATTTTAAAAGACATATTTGTTCAAAAAATATTGTTTTTTCAAACAGCTATCATTTACAAGTTGATACGACTTTCTCGATCTAGGCCACATTCCGACGAGTATGGCCACGTTGGTTCGAATTTAATAAACATCCACCAAATATATTATAAGATATTATGATATATAGTATGCAAATTGTTCATTAATTTGTTTGATAAAAATTGATTATGCAAGAACAATGGTGGGACACAGATGTTAGACTTCTCGAATTACGGCCAGCTCCGGTTTCTGATGCTTACCTCATCAATGGCCTCGCCGGCGATTCATATCCTTGCTCTCAGAATAGTAATACTCACTCTTTACTTGAATCAAAAGTTACTTTTGATATTCCTTTGTAAATTGTTTGCAAAAACTTAAATTCTTTTTTTTTGGTTTTTGGCTTCTGTAGGAATGTTTAACCTCAAGGTTGTACAAGGAAAAACATATTTGCTAAGGATTATAAACGCAGCACTCAACACTCACCTCTTCTTCAAAATAGCCAATCACAACGTCACAGTTGTCGCTGCAGATGCTGTCTACACGACGCCGTACCTCACCGATGTGATGATCTTAACGCCGGGACAAACTGTTGACGCACTTCTCACCGCCGACCAGCCCATTGGAATGTACTACATGGCCACCATCCCTTACTTTAGTGCCATCGGGGTACCAGTATCCCCCGACACCAAACCCACCAGAGGCTTAATCGTCTACGAGGGTGCCACGTCGTCATTACCAGCGAAGCCGTTGATGCCTGCCGCGAATGACATAGCCACCGCTCATAGGTTCTCCTCGAACATCACTAGCCTCGTGGGTGGACCACACTGGACACCAGTGCCTTGTCACGTGGACGAGAAGATGTTCATAACTATGGGGCTTGGCTTAGACCCATGTCCTTCGGGTACCAAGTGTATTGGACCGTTAGATCAAAGGTTAGCTGGATCTCTCAACAATCGCACTTTTATGATACCGGAGAGAATCTCTATGCAAGAGGCTTATTTTTACAACATTACTGGAGTCTACACCGGTGATTTTCCCGACCAACCACCGGTTAAATTTGATTACACAAAATTCGAACAACGTACCAATTCTGACTTCAAAATGATGTTTCCGGAAAGAAAAACTAGCGTCAAGACAGTTAGATTTAATTCAACAGTCGAGATCGTTTTGCAAAACACCGGGATAGTCACCAGGGAGAGCCACCCCATGCACCTTCACGGCTTCAACTTCTATGTGTTAGGTTATGGATTTGGTAACTATGATCCTATTCGCGATGCAAGAAAGCTAAATCTATTTAACCCGCAAATGCACAATACCGTTGGTGTACCACCAGGTGGATGGGTTGTCCTCAGATTTATAGCTAATAACCCCGGTTAGTAACATTTATATATGTTTAGTATCTATACTTATATATTAATGGATGGATTAATATGAATATGAAATTGTATTTTTGCAGGTGTATGGCTGTTCCATTGTCACATGGATGCACATTTACCGTTAGGAATTATGATGGCTTTCATAGTTCAAAATGGGCTAACCCGGGAAACGAGTTTGCCATCTCCACCGTCAAATCTTCCGCAATGCACTCGGGATCCTACGATCTATGACTCTCGGACGACTAATGTTGATTTGTCTTACAAAAAGTAGCTAGCTACATTCGTTTTAAAAAAGTACATTCACTGTTGACTATCATCGTAGTCATAGTTTCCACATTTTTCGAAATAAGTGTTTCTTAAAATTCAGTATCTTTCTTTTGTTTATTTACGACCATGCCTACATTTCTCTAGACGTTCCCAATCCAAGACTCCGACATTCAAAACATTACACTAATCGCTTTCTTCACCTCATTGACACATTCCTTTTGACGACTATGGCTAGTCCCACCTGCAAGATCAGAAAATCAGGTTTCACTCCAGGTATACCTCACCACCCTTCATCTAACCGAAGCTAATGACTACTATGAGTGGGAAATTGATGGGAATCTTACCTCTCGATACGCCACTGGCCAAATCTATAAAATACTCAAAGGTGTGTCACCGCATATGCCTTGGAGTAGTATAGTTTGGATAGCCGGAGGAATTCCAAAACATAAATTCCTTACCTGGCTCTTGGTTCTAAACCGGTGTCCTACTCGTGATCGTCTCATCCGATGGGGAATCAATTCGGATCCAACTTGTCTTCTATGTGGCTCTGAACCTGAAAGTAGGGACCATCTTTTTTTCAATCAACTGTTGCAATGAGATGTCAGTTACCTCCTAATCGTCCCTGGCAAGAATCGCTTCACCAATTGCAAACCCTAACTGGTCCTAAAGTGAGGAAACGGCTGATACTGCTGCTGGTCTAGCAATGCACACTCTATCTTCTATGGTCGGAAAGAAACTCAAGACTTCACCGGCAAATTGATCAAACCATCCGCAACAGATGTGCAAGCTTCATAGACACAAACCCACGACTTGCTTCGTCAATCCTCCAACTTTGGCTCGCCACCACGGTCACAAATGACTGATTCCAACACTTGGATCACCATCAGCGGCTCTCAATCTCTACTTCGTCACTTGAACGGTTCCATCGCTTCTCTTAGACGACTACTCGATCTGGTTCAATTATTGGTTTAATTGCTCGACTCTTTATCTGTACTGGGCTAGGTCTCTAATATTGCTATCCAAACAAACCACTAACTAAAGCCTGATGGGCTTTTGTAATTTTTCTTTTTTCTTTTTATGCTTTAAATAATAAACCCTTTTTCAAAAAAAAAAATTATAGCTATTATTTATAGTATTATATTAAACCGGATACTATAGTTTCTTGAATTTTATAGTGGTTATGGGGAATATTGATGATTTTTTTTTCTTCTTTCTTTTAAAGTGTAAATGGGCTATAAGTACGCTCTTTTGGACCTAACGGGCTAAAGTGATAAGAATTTGCCGAAATATAAAATAAACTTTTATCCTTTTAGCCCAATAATCTTCAATCAAAGCAACCGTGGCGAAAAATGTTGTTATAGAAACAAACAAAAACTATTTTCTTATCATTAGCTAATCCATTGTTATCTCCTGGCCAAAGTCATCTCAGCAATTGATTGAATCATTGATTAACATAAGCTAATGACATGTCCGCCAATATTAACAAGAAGAAAGCAAAACAAAATTCTTTACATTTGTTTATGAATTAATATATAAAGGGCAGTTAAAGATGCTTGGAGACAGTGATCATATGCCACTGGCATTAAGTAATTGATTTCACTAATCTCTCAAATCTCAACTAATCACGCACAAAGGATATTTTTGCCTTTTAAATTAAATCGATCTCGTGATTCACATGGCAGAGTTGCTTAGCTGTATCATCATGTTTATGTGTGTATATATGCCATTGACTCGAGAAGATAATTTTTTTTTTCTTTTTTAACATAGAAGACTAATGTAAGCTTCAATGTTTCCATGTGTGAACGGAAATATATAAACGTTGAATTCATTGGAAAACAAAGAAATGCGGATTATATGTAATTAATTAGATATCTATTCTTGATCATGAGAACAATAGAATTAGAACTTTGAAGCAATCATTATTTGGTTGCCTTAAGTAGTATTAGAGGTGGACTTTTGATTATTTGGTTCCGTTCGGGTCATAAATGATTACACTTTTGTTATATATAATAGGGGATGATCAAAGTACCTTTCATATTTCAGATGGAGTATATTTTTACAACATTGAAAGTGCAATCAAATTTTCATATTAAAAAATAGCAAATTTGTTTCAAGTCATAAGGTTTGTCCAGTTAATTAGTTTTATTTTTTTATAATTTTCAATTTATAAGTTGAAAGAGTATTACTAAATTTGTTGAAAATTCTGCATTAAAAATACAATAACATATTTTCATATATAAAACAAAAAATAAAGTCATACAATGACACCCATCATAAAAAAAATGAGAGGTAGTTTAAACATGTGACATCATAACCTACATACAAATATATAATGACTTTGGGAACATCAATTAAAATTAATGTTTGGGCCATGGGACGAAATCTTATTAGATCTCGACTTTAGGCCATCCGCAGTGGGGCAAGCGTTCGGGTGTTAGTCGTCGGGTGTAGGTATTAAAAAAAGAAAAAAATTGTCTCTCTCTTCACACTCGGGTGTAAGTTTACACTCGGGTGTAAGACACTCTCTCTCTGACTCTCTCTTTCTTTCTCTCTCTTTTCTCTCTCACTTTAAATTATAATAATAAAAAAAATCTTACACCCCCCTCACACTTACACCACTGCGGATGGTCTTACGACTTCACCAAAAAACACTTAAATAGAACATAAAATAAGAGACCACAAGAGGAAACGTTTTACACAGCAGATAATATACATGCACTAATCGTTTGGCATCGTTTTTTTATTTTTTTTTGGTTGGTCAACGACGTGGGCAATCGTGTTGAGATTGCCATTTCTGGCAGATTAATAATTGAATAGTAATATAATATAATAGTTTCGCAAAGTTTTTATTAAAACTTCGGCCCATCTCTCTCCATTAGTTCCTTCTATAAATACGTGTACGAGTCTCTCATAAAGTCATAAGTGGGGCAAATTATCATTTTTCACTTCCTCGCATCAACAATGCCTCGACTTCATCATTATCTCCCAAATCAAGCCTTCGTCGTCCTTCTTCTCTTCTCTTCCATTGCCTCGGCAGCTATTGTCGAACATGTTCTCCACGTATTTACTCTTATACCATTTTCTCCTTCTTTCGTTTTGTTTGCTCTATAAATTAAATAAATTTTCAAAAATTACCTATTAATTTTATTATTACTGTGGAAATTATATTATATTACCATTTTCATTTTATTTACTAGTCACTATTTCTTAAAATTGGAAAAGTTGGTGGTATGCACGTGCTTGTGTTTTTCTTTTCCTCCATTTCAAAAATTATTACCGTATTTGATGGATCTCTAGTCTATGAACCCCGATTTTCAGTAAATTTTATCTCTAGATTATATAATCATTGTGGTATATTACGAATTAAGCGTGGAATTAATGTTCTCTTTTTGTTTGCATTTGACTTTAACGTATATTTTTATTGTTAACTGATTAATTATTTACTAGAATATAGGCCTATTAGGATTTAGGAGGAAACAAATACAATAAATACACACATCAACACCACGCGGTTAAACAAATACTACAGTATTTTTTTAGTTTTTAACTTTGCCATTAAAAGAAAATATATAATATAACAATACTAACAACGTCAAACAAACAGATCAACGATGTCGTGGTGAAACCGTTATGCAAGGAGCAAATAATACCGGCAGGTAACGGAAGTCTTCCCGGCCCAACGATAAACGTTAGAGAAGGCGACACTCTTGTGGTTAATGTCATTAACAACTCAACTTACAATGTAACCATCCACTGGTAATTAAGTAACTTATTGATCATCTCGATATCATTTTATATCAATATTATTTCATCAAATAATTAACTTTTTAGGTGTTAATAAAAGTATTTCTTGATTTTATATGTAGGCATGGAGTTTTTCAGTTGAAGAGCGTATGGATGGACGGTGCGAATATGATAACTCAATGTCCGATTCAACCAAGTAACAACTTCACATATCAATTCGATATCACCGGACAAGAAGGTACACTGTTATGGCACGCACACGTCGTTAATCTGCGTGCCACTCTTCACGGGGCTCTAGTCATCCGTCCCCGATCCGGCCGTCCTTACCCTTTTCCTAAACCCTACAAGGAAGTTCCTATCATTTTTCGTAAGCATTTCCCTCTTCTTTTTAAATCGAAATCAATTTTGTGACAGCGACGATTCTCGATTATAGTGATTCAATATAATAGTAAAAGCAGTATTTGTTCAAAAAATATTGTTTTTTCAAACAGCTGTATTTTACAAGTTGATACAACTTTCTCGATCTAGGCCACATTCTGACGAGTATGGCCAAGTGGTTCGGATTTAATAAACATCCACCAAATTTATTATATATATATATATTATAAAGATTTTATGATATATAGTATTCAAATTGTTAATTAATTAGTTTGAAAAAAATTGATTATGCAAGAACAATGGTGGGACACAGACGTAAGACTTCTCCAATTACGGCCAGCTCCGGTTTCTGATGCTTACCTCATCAATGGCCTCGCCGGAGATTCATATCCTTGCTCTAAGAATAGTAATACTCACTCTTTAATTACTTGAATCAAAAGTTACTTTAAATTGTATATTGTTTACAAAAAACATATAACTAATTTTATTTTTTTGGTATTTGGCTTCGATAGGAATGTTTAACCTCAAAGTTGTACAAGGAAAAACATACTTGCTAAGGATTATAAACGCAGCACTCAACACTCACCTCTTCTTCAAAATAGCCAATCACAACGTCACAGTTGTCGCTGCAGATGCTGTCTACACGACGCCGTATGTCACCGATGTGATGATCTTAACGCCGGGACAAACCGTTGACGTACTTCTCACCGCCGACCAGCCCATTGGAAAGTACTACATGGCCACCGTCCCTTACATTAGTGCCATCGGGATACCAACCCCCGACATCAAACCCACCAGAGGCTTAATCGTCTACGAGGGTGCCACGTCATCATCATCGCCAGTGAAGCCGTTGATGCCTGCTACGACTGACATAGCCACCGCTCATACGTTCTCCTCTAACATCACTAGCCTCGTGGGTGGACCACACTGGAAGCCAGTGCCTCGTCACGTGGACGAGAAGATGTTCATAACCATGGGGCTTGGCTTAGACCCATGTCCTTCGGGTACCAAGTGTATTGGACCGTTAGGTCAAAGGTATGCTGGATCTCTCAACAACCGCACTTTTATGATTCCGCAGACAATCTCTATGCAAGAGGCTTATTTTTACAACATTACTGGAGTCTACACCGAAGATTTTCCCGACCAACCACCGCTTAAATTTGACTACGCAAAATTCCAACAGCGTACCAATTCTGACATGAAGATGATGTTTCCGGAAAGAAAGACTAGCGTCAAAACAATTAGGTTTAATTCAACAGTCGAGATTGTTTTGCAAAACACGGCTATTCTCTCCCCGGAGAGCCACCCCATGCACCTTCACGGCTTCAACTTCTATGTTTTGGGTTATGGATTTGGTAACTATGATCCTATTCGTGATGCAAGAAAGCTAAATCTATTTAACCCACAAATGCATAATACCGTTGGTGTACCACCAGGTGGATGGGTTGTCCTCAGATTCGTCGCTAATAATCCTGGTTAGTAACATTTTAATTTAAAACATATTTATTATCTAGTGTCTACACCAATTATATATTAATCTGATGGGTTAATATGAATATGAAATTGTATATTTGCAGGTGTATGGCTCTTCCATTGTCACATGGATGCTCATTTACCATACGGGATTATGAATGCTTTCATAGTTCAAAATGGGCCAACTCCGGAAACGAGCTTGCCATCTCCACCGTCGAATCTTCCGCAATGCACTCATGATCCTACGATCTATGACTCTCGGACGACTAACACTGATTTGTCTTACTAAAAGCAACTAGGTTCGTTTTCCATTTTTAAAGAAAAAAAAAATACATTTACTATTGACTATCAGTCGTAGTCATTATTTCCACATTTTTGGAAATCATTGTTTCTCAAAAATCAGTATTTTTCTTGTGTTAATTTACAAAAATTTTGGTCACCAGTGCCCTTCAATGCTTGAACTGATTTGTACGAGAAACAATTATTTTATCTATATAATAATGTTATTTTTGTTATGTATTTCTTCAACTCTAAAGCAGTATATGTAGTTGATGGACGTGTGACTTCAGTAGTAGTGTATACTCTTATGATTTTAAGTCGGTTTGGACATAACACGAGAGTATACAACGTTGGGAATTTATAAGAAAGAAAAAAACGATCATTAGATACTCTATATGTGTCCTGAGTTTAGACTCTACCAACTGGAGATAGCGGCGGAGCCATAGGAGAAGAAGATTTTCCGGTGGTCTTTGCCTCGGATGCACATGTTAGTACCGTCACGCACACAAAAAACGCTTGTAACGGCGAAACAGACGAACCAAACTCCACCCTATAGATCCCTGTTTTCAGCTCCGTCATTGCCAAAGCAGGACCCGAGTCTTGTTCACTTCCTTCCTGCAAATGTAAACGACTACTTTCAAGAACACGGCATAACAAATCAAGAAAAGCAAACACATATTTTTATTTGAAATGGGTTTGCAGGAAACTTTTAAAAGACTATGTTTGGTTAAGTTATGTTTATGTTACCTGATCGAAAAGTTTGAAGCTTTGGTTGAATTCATGGAGGACTGTTTTGTTGGAGAGGACACGGAGTTTACATCCAACATCCCAGCCACCGCAGTCGCATAACCCTTCAGATCTCCACCGGCTAATCAATGGCGATGGTGCTCCTTTCTCCGGGAAGCTGTGAACGCCGCCAGGAATTATCACACTCGTTTCCTCGAGGCTAGTATAGCTTCCTTCGACCGGCTTCTTCTTGATCACTACAGCTGCAACCTCCCTCCTCCCTTTTACTTGCTCTGACTCGTCAAACAGAACTGATTCTGTGATCACAGGAGAGATGATTTCAGATTTCTGCTCTGATATATCTGCGCTCATTGAGTTTCCCAACCGCATTTGACCGATTACATTGTAGACGAACCCGCAGTGTTTCTCTTTGTGTCCATGAATTAGCCAGCTTCCGCTTTTCTTCTTTTTGACCTCATTAACAGAGTAGAATGTGCAGTACTGAACAGAATCATCTTTGAACGATGAATCCGAGCTTTTCATTGTAGCCCCGAGAATGCTCCTGCTGCTGCTGTTGTTATCATCGACCACAAATTGAAACAGAGGGATGCCATTTCTGATTGTGAGCTGAAAAATAGCTCGGGTTCTCGATGTATCCTGCTTCTTTTCGTCTTGAAGTGGTACGTTGATGTTGGTTGTTGGCTCTGGATTGGAAGAACTTGATCTTGCTTTTGATGGATGAACATTTTCAGAGCCTTTGGGTTTCAGTAAAGGATCAAGAAACCGTCTTAGAGGGCTAACTCGAGATCGGCAATGAGTGTTCTGGTTCTCCGGGTTGCTTGACTGAGATGGACAAACTGAACCATCAAATCTCATAGAACCAGACTTGATGGTATCCTCAGAAGAACTCAGAGGGTGGCCGGTTGAAATCTCTTTCACGCTGAAACTTCGGCTGAGACGACCAAAACTAAAACTAAACCGCTTGCTCGGTGAAGGGTGTCTCTCCTTTCTGGATTCATCTTCAGGAAATTCTAGATCAAATATCCTTGAAGCTGTCTTTGAATGCCTTTTCCCACCAAACCGTTCCTTTTTACCAGAAAGATCAGTACCAAGAGGCAACATCATATCTTCAGAATCTCTCTCTAAGTCGAAAGAGAGTGGACAGGAACGAGGAGTTTGAGAGCTCAATCCTAAAGAGCTATTGATTCTGTCGGAAAAGTCTAGAGAGCGGTTAACGTCTCTAGAGATTTGGGGCTCACCGGAAAGAGTGCCTCGGGACTGTTTTCTTGATCGAAGGAGAAAAATGTTGCTCAACTCCTGCTTTTCAGAAGTATGACCAGCTTTCGAATCGCAAATGATCTTCTCACCCCCATCTAACTTGTCAACACATTCTTTAGCTCTTTCTCTTGCTTCTTTTGCATGTGTCTCCCCTGCTCTCTTCTGAGTATCCTTATCTAAGTTTTTCTTGATGACCAGTGACCCCCCAGAGTTTCCCATTTCTGGCAATAAAACTGAAGTTGATTCCCGGTTTGAATGCGTTCTTCTGCTCTTCCTCGGTTCCACTGCTTTGTGATCTCTACCATAGGACTTATAGCTACAAGTTGCTAGTTCCTGCTTATTTAATGAATCCCTAGAAGCCAACTCAGGATCCAAAGTGCATCTAACTCCGTGAAGAGAATGTTGAAGATCCCGGGAAGCTTTAACTTTACCGAGATTCGAACAAGTAGGCAACTGGTCATCAATCTTACACCTATGAGATTCATTGGGAACTACTCCTGAAGTAGCAATAGTAGACACTTTCCTCTCAGATTTTCCTGATCTTTCACCGCCTTTTGCTCGACCATTCTTCCATTTCTCTAGACGTTCCCAATCCAAGACTCCAACATTCAAAACATTACTCTGAACACTTTCTTCACCTCTCTCTATACGTTGGAGATAACCTGGCAACTTAGACATATATTTCACAAGCTCATCATTATGTTCCAAACTCTCATTGAAACATTCCTTTTGACGACTATGGCTTGAACGTTTCGTCCTGACCCGGTTCTCATTGTCAGTGCCACTTCCTTGACCCTCCTTTTCTGCCACCTCCGATGTTCTTTGGCTCTGTTTCAGAACATCTCTAAACTCAGTTCTTGTAGCCATTATTGATCTACAAAGAAGAAGCAATGAAACTTAACCCCCATTAAACAAATACAGCAATAAAAAAGGAAACTTTCACTATGATTACTTTTATATACTCTCAGATTTATGCATAAAACTAAATCACGAGAGACTCGGATATTATTATTTGACCACAATGTATAAAGACTAATTCAATTCCAACTCTTAGACAAAAAAAAAAAAATCAAACCTTTATTCGCAAAGATTTCGAAACAAGTGTTGTGTTTCACAACCGAGAAAGTAATGGAGGAAACATCTCGAGAAACCCTAATCCTAACCTTCGAGTTGGTGGCAGATATCGTCGAAGAGAAGAAAACAAAAAAGTATAATCTGAAGCTAAAAGGGAACAACAACAACAACAACGTGGAGTAGAAGCAAAATCGAAAATCACAACCACAGAAATCAAGATTCACTAAACCCAATCTCTTCTTCTGATTAACGTAAATCGAGAAAGCTTTTAGTAAGGAATCGAAGAAGTTGCAGAGAATCTCTTGGCCGCTTAGAAGAAGAAAGAGGCCTTCGTGTGAGAATCGTACGATCAAGATTAATAGTTGTTGAGGACGTAAGATTAATCGTGTGGTTGATATTAATTTATTGAAAGGTGGGGCCTCTTAGGAGACTTCCGTTTTGTTTCTCTCTTCGTAACGGATCCCGATACAGAAATTACTGCTGACGTCAGCACGCATAAGTTTCTTATCTTTTTTCACTTTTTCTCCCATTTTTTCAACTTTTATTATTTTGTCCGTTACGGCTTTAGAAGAAACTTCAATCATTTTCGGCAGTATGTGACCTTGTTTAAAAAATCTTTAGGCGCTAGTCGGGCGGTGAGGGTGAACCTAGCGCCTAGCAAGAAAATCGGAAATTAAACGGGGATTAATCGGGGACTAGTTTTAAGGCTATTTAATATTTTAAAAACATATTAATCTATTATAAATAAGAAATTTATATAATTTTATTTTTAAAATTGCATTAAACACATGAAAACAAGAATTTAAGGTCAAACTTATGATTTTTATACATATTATGAACATAAGTGGGACGTTTTAAATTTTAGATTCAAAAAAAGAAAAAAAAATGTAAAAAAAAAAAAAAAAAAATTGGGCTAGGCGCCGTCTAGGCGGGCTAGGCGGACGCCACCCGATCAGCGCCTAGGCGGCCGATTTTTAGAACAGGGGTATGTGATGACAAAAAATAAACACAACACTAATCTTGTATTTAAGTTTGTTTATATTTATGTCGACGACAATTTTTTTTTTTTTGGGTGTTATTCAGATGTTAATCTTTACTTGATTATGAGGTTTATATAAATTTCTATTTTTATTTGCATATGTATGCCACCACAATCCACAAATTAAATCTAATTATTGATGGATCATGTTTTTTGCACGAGGAGCCTGTAATTTGTTTGACTAGAGAGCACTTAGAGCAGTGATCCAATTAGATATGTTATTTATTTCAATCAATAAAGCAAAAGGACTTTACTTTTACTTTTTTTCTCTCTTTTCTACTACTAACATTATGAAATCACGTAAACTTAACCCTTTTTTTTTTGTAGATTTTTGACTAAAAAAAAGATAGAAGTTGTACTATGATTTGTTAAAACAATTCAGAAAATTAATTATAGACCTTGAACACATTTTAAACATTAGAATCTCTTATATAGAGTTATATGTGTTTAAGGAATTGCAAAGTATATCGGCTAAAAGGGAATAAAGGTTATTGGTTACTCAATGAATCTCGAAATTAGGAGTCAAGAACATGCTTTATGGTCCAAAATCAATGTTTTCGATGATGGGTTTTAATACGATATGATCTTAATATCTTATACAACCTCCAAGTTTCTAAACCCCAAAAACAATCAATATCTAACTTATGTAAATCTTTTAATTTTAGGCGATGTTCTATTGAATATATAATTTTCTACTACAAACTTTTCGGATTAACTTGCAAGATGCTGAGGTTACATGAAAATTATATAATAAAATTAATTAATCAAGAAATGTATTCTATACACACGTCTTGACTTGATTATATCTTAAATATTTAGATAAAAGAGGATCGATATACTTTTATTATTACATACTAGGTCTTTATCCGCACAACGTACGGTTTTTTCATCCATAATTTATTAGTTATAACAATTTACATGGATTGAATAATTTATTAAATCATCTTTTTGGGGTTTGTTTACTAATCATTTTGATGTCCTCTCTAATTCTCGAGTAAATAGTTCATTTCGGTTTTTTGTTTTCTTATTTATTTTTAATTACAATTTTAACACTTACTTGCAAAAAACCAAAAAATTTAATCTAAGGGTTAACTTTATTTGCGTGAAAAGCGGTTAAATTAATAGTCAGACCCGTAAAATAGGACGGGATGCTTAATCCGAGTTGTTTTGAATGCATTAAAATTTAACACTTAAATTGATCTCACCGTAAAGTCCTTTTTAAACGAGTTTGCAATAGATGGCCCATAGTGTGTCATATTATTAGGCCCAGTGATGATGGCCCAAAGAAATCATGTAATCAAACGCAAGCAATAAGTAAGAAAGAACTTATGAAGAACTAATTGGTTTGCTTCGGTCCATTAATGATAGGTCCATTATGCACCGTGGTAATTAGACTTAGAGCATCGGCAGTGGGGCAAGCAGGTGGGTGTGAGTCTTGGGGTGTAGGTATTAAAAAAACGAAAAAATTGTCTCTCTTCACACCGGGGTGTAACACTTTTTCTCTCTATCTCTCTCTTTCTTTCTCTTTCTCTTTTTCTCTTTTGCTTTAAATTATAATACTAAAAATATACTTACACCCACACAAACACATTTGCCACTGCTGATAGTCTTATATAGTTCGTATTTGAATTTATATAATAGTTTTATTTTGTAATTTTCAAAATCTCTAACTTTTGTAGTGCAGTTGGGCAAAAAACAAACAAATATAAAGATAACTTGGTTTATAGCTCAAGGAAATGGGATGTTTTTTTTTAAAGAACTTTTGATTAAGGATATTGGGTAGTGTAAGTTGAAAGTCAGTTCTTGTTAAAAATAATGATATCGCGTAAGGAGAAATTAAAAGTTGATGAAATGTTTGTAAGAATATTATCAGTAGAGTAGATAATATTCTTTTATTTGATTAATTAACTATCACTTTAGTATTATGAAAAACTCAAACTCTCGGTATGATTATAGACGCACAAATGACAAAATCATGATATTTTAGTCGTTCAAGTATTATTTAAATATTTATTTACTTTTGTCATCGTGTTGCGTTTGTTATACAAAAGGTGGAACAGTTTTGAGTTTTGACCTTATTTTTAGGGTTGCTTTGTTAGGGAAACAACGACGTACAATACGACAACTGATAGAGAACAAAGAGAGGAAACATTTGTTTGAAATGCTCGACAACATCTACATATTCATATTTAATTACAAGATTACGTTACTTAAAAATCCCATATATATTTTAATATTTGAAAAGAAGTTGTTTACTTGGAAAAAAAACAAGAAAATTGAGTAAAGTTTGGCAAAATATATATAAATTATGCAAACAAAGAAGAAAACTTTAGGGATTTGAAAAATGTTAATATCTTATCCTAATTTCTAAGCAGTAAGTAAATGTTGAACATATTTTCAAAAGTAAAAGTAGTTTAGAAAAATTTTATATGAAATTATGAGATAAACAAGGAAATTATGAAGCTACAATTTCATAATAAAAAAAAAACGTGTTGTGACCACTCGATCGTAACATACACGCAAAGACAAGAAACCGTTGGAAATTTTGGTAGGGTTAGAACCAAAGACAAAGCATCACTTTCTACCTTTATCCTTAAGAATGGACCAAATTGTGGTCACTATGGAGTCTATACGGCTATATACCATTCATTTATCAAACTTGTTAAATGCAAATGAAAACATAGAAAAGTTATTGATATTGAATCTCTCTTCACGTATTGAATGGTGTGTTCTCTTTGACATATGATATTACCGTGAAGGCTTGAAGAGAGGACGTATTTATTGTTAGGGAGTGTGAATGCTTCACGGAGTAACATTTTTGAAATTTGTAAACTTTTTAGAAATTCAAACTATCTTAAATCCGATCCACTGAGCTCTCAAAGAAAAAAAAGGAATTTTCAAGGTTGTGTGTTAATATAAATGAACAAATTTGAAAATACTGACACCAAATATATCTTGTGGATTGGAAGTTGTGAAAAAAAGAAAATAATGTGATAAGTAGGAATAGTGATACAAATTGTTATAGAAGTATTGTACCGTTGCATATGATTTGATGAATACGACTTTATTTTATATTTTAATTTCCTTTATTACCAAATTCCTAAATTAATATGGTTACGTAATTTGTAAAATAAATATACAACCTTATTGAATACGTCATTTTATGATTTTATTGTTATCAAATCACAATCAGAAACTTTTTTAGAAAAAGCTTGTGAAAAAAATAAATAAAATCGAAACCAGAGAACATCGTAGATGGATCCGTCAATTACACGATTCCCATAATAAAAAAAACAATTAAACTATAAACTATAGTATAAATTGAAATCTTGTCGTCATTGATTTGGATTAGTTTAGAATTAAACCCGTAGATTAAAATAATACTAATCATCTGGTTACTGAGAAGATAAAGTTGGTGTTTTTAAACTTATGTTGAGAAAGATGCAGAGAGATCGAGGAAGAGAGAGCAAGAGAACCTCTTCACTCACAGACCCAGTCACTGCATTTTCTTTTCTTTTCTCGGAAAATATATCTTTTTTTCCCGAGAATATTTTCCCGAAGAATCAGATCGAACAAAAAGGGCTCTCTTTAATGTAATGCGATTCAAGCACGAGAATACCCAGAGAGATAAAAGAGGCTCCTTTGAGCAAGTTGCAGAAATCGAAGACTGTGTTTGAAGAGAGATTTGCGGCGTTGTAATGGGTGGTTCGTCGGAAGATTTGAAAATCGACCTGCGAGAAGTGGAAGAGAAAGGTAGAGAAAGCAGTTGCTGCAGCTCGGAAACAACCAGACAAGAGGAAGAACAAAGTCCTAGCTGTACGGAGGATTTCACGGCTTCTCCGGTTTCATCTCGTTGGTCTGTGAAGAACATCGATGGAGAGAAGAAGAAGATTCATTCGGATTCAAGAGTTTCAGGTTCGTCATTTTTATACCAAATGTACCCACCAAGTGTTTGCTTTTATTCCTCACTGACAGATGACAGTTTCATTTTTGTATATCAAGCTTAAAGTTCGTAGCTTTAGAGTTTTGTTTGAATTTAAGATTGTTTTGTTCTTCTGGTTTGACTATGTAGAGGTTGAGATGATGAAGGAAAGATTTTCAAAGCTGCTGCTTGGAGAAGATATGTCAGGTTCTGGAAATGGTGTCTGCACAGCGTTAGCTATCTCAAACGCAATCACTAATCTTTGTGGTATGTGGAATTACTCACATGAATTGATGGAGATTATACTCTTTGAATAGATCTTGATAGGCTCGACTTTGTGTTTTGCTTGAAGCTACCTTGTTTGGGCAACTATGGAGGTTAGAACCACTGCCTACAGAGAAGAAAGAGATGTGGAGAAGAGAAATGGAATGGCTTCTTTGTGTCAGTGATCACATTGTAGAGATGACTCCAACTTGGCAAACATTTCCTGATGGAACCAAACTTGAGGTACATATTAGGCATTGCTTATTGTAGATTGGATATGTTTGGTTGCATTTTTGTTGTTTCAATTACAGACCCGTTTTTTTTTTGTTCCATTGTTGTAGATAATGACTTGCAGACCAAGATCAGATCTTTATGTTAACCTCCCAGCTCTAAGGAAACTAGATAACATGCTTCTTGTAAGAACCTGTGACTTCTTATCTTCCCGACTTCTCTGTAGGTACTTTAAGCAGCAAAGGTCTCATTTTTATTCATCTTCCATCTTTGCAGGAGATATTAGATAGTTTTGAGGAGACAGAGTTTTGGTATGTTGACCAAGGAATCATGGCGCACGAATCAGCAGCGGACGACGGATCATCTTCTTTCCGAAAATCTTTTCAGAGGCAAGAAGACAAATGGTGGCTTCCTGTTCCACGGGTTTCACCAGGAGGTTTACAAGAACACTCAAGAAAACAGTTGCAGCATAAACGCGACTGCACTAATCAGATATTAAAAGCTGCTATGGCCATCAACAGTATCACACTCGCCGACATGGAAATCCCTGAATCATACCTCGAATCTCTTCCGCGGGTAAGAAAACCGAACAATACATACATATTCTGCTAACATACTCTAATATGAAATTCAAAGTTGCATTTTTGGTATGTTTCAGAAAGGAAGATCGTGTCTCGGTGACTTAATCTACAGATACATTTCATCGGATCAATTCTCACCTGAATGTCTTCTTGATTGCCTTGACTTGTCCTCTGAACATCAAGCCATAGAGATAGCTAACCGAGTCGAGTCTTCGATCTATCTATGGCACAAAAGAACTAATTCCAAACCAGCTACTAATACCAAAACGTCATGGGAAATGGTGAAAGAACTAATGGTTGATGCAGACAAGCTAGAGTTAATGGCGGATCGAGCTGAAAGTTTATTGCTTTCTTTAAAACAACGATTCCCAGGTCTTCCTCAAACCGCTCTAGACATGAGCAAAATCCAATACAACAAGGTTTCTACATGGAAATCAAATCCCAAATCTTTCTGTTTTCTTTTAACCCGCACTAAACAGTTTTCCTTTTTCTCTGTTTTAGGACATCGGGAAATCGATTCTGGAAAGCTATTCAAGAGTTCTAGAGAGCTTAGCTTTCAACATTGTTGCACGTATCGATGACTTGCTCTTTGTTGATGATCTAACAAGACATTCATCGGATCAGATTCCAACAACATTAGGCAACAACGGTAATGACGCTCCTAAGAGCATTGCAGTGCCGGTTTCAAACTACACAACTCCCAGCTACTCTCCATCAAAACAGGAGCTCCGATCATCAATCACTGTTCCGCCATCTCCTTCCCGGTTCAAGATTCCTCACAGTAGCAGTGTTAAAAGGGTTTTGACGGCTTATGTAACAAAGAACGAACCAAGATTGAAGGATCTCCCTGTAGAAACACCAAGCCGTTCTTCGTCAAGTGAGAGATTGTCTCTCGAGAAATGCATGAAGGAGTCGTTGAATGTATCGAACCTTGATCCTGGGATTTGAATTACTACTCCTTGGAAAAGTCTCTGTTTTTGGATCCCTTTTCCTATCAATGTCTTTTTATAATGTTTATTATTCTTTCTTGTGTGTAGTTTTAGATTTGTATAATAATAATTGGAAAGATAGACTTTGAGGTTAACAACAAATGAATGAGTCAATTAAACCAGTTTTTTTTTTAGATTAACTAATGCATTTTGCTGATTTAAACCTCAATTTTAACCAAGTTTAAAGGTCCAAGAATTATGACAAATGCAAAAAGAATCTCCTTGGAATCTTTCGAGGACACATCTTTACGACAAAAGGCAGAATCTCAAAATTGTTCTCCTCGAAAGTAGATTCCCATCTAAACCAGACAATGAACCTTTCATAACAACCCAAACCGATGATAACCAGACCGAATTAAACATTCAAACATAACAAACTATTATTCGCTGTAAAAGCTAGAACAAGTACAGTTTATTTATTTATATGCGTGGAAACTGGAGATCTATAGAGTTTGTACAAAACCATCAACGGTTTAATCTATAAAATTAAGGGAAAATTAAATCTGAACCGGTCGGGTCAATCACTAAACCACGACAAGGGCCAAAAGAACTCCCCTGTTTTGCAACTAGCTAGCTTCAAACTTCTTCCATACTTTTGTAATAATAAGATGAGAAGTTACTAAAAACAGTCGGATCCACAGCTACTCTTTTCTTTTTTTTGTTCCTATGTACCTGCGAAATCCAAAACCGAACCAAACAAAAATCAATTATGCGCGCCTTAGAACCGAACTGGAACCGTTTCAGTGGATGTTTGGGTTGATCATACCTTGCTTTTGTAGTTATAAACGTTTGCTGAAGTAGTAAGATCTCAACTTAGTAATACAGAGATCCTGGAAAGTTTTCAAGAACGGTTAGAGAAACGAAACAAAGATTTCCCGGAACAGAACAAAATGATCAAAAAAGATGGGAATCAGATACCTTGCCACCAATTTCCTCTTGAGGCACTTCCGGAATCATCTTCCCCTCCATCTTTCTTGTTCTTCAAAGAGAGAAAACATACCCAAAAAAATCCAAAAGGTTCTTTATAAACAATAATCTACAAAGAAACTTCGGTTCACAAACCCCTTAAAGGTCATCAAACGTTCCACAAGAGAACTCTATAAATCATCTATATAAGAAAAGTTTCCAACTTTTTTACGGGTAATTTGACTTTAGATTCTTTGGAGACAACAATCGATGATGAACTACCTCGATAACTTCGTTTCTAAAACCGTTAAAGTCCATTAAAAGTTCCACACAGCTAACTCTATAATACCAGCTACATATATGTTACATCAAGATTCTAGCTTTTTCCCTTTAGCTTACCGTAGAGTTGATGCTGGAATTCTGAGGCTGGAAATAAACATCTGGACCACCGTAATAGATGGAAGAACTCAGATGACAAGGTTGTACTCTCTGATCCTGATAACCTGAACCATGATTCTCTTGTTGTTCCCTGTTTCTATCAACATCACCTACAAATAACATCAACTATCAATAAGAAATACATAACAAAGATTTGTCAAAGATGATGTTTTAAAGATTAATACCAGTCTTGGAGGTTTTGTCGTTCCAGGCACCAGCCACAGTCTCTTGTCGCATAGATTCTCTTCCCAGAACCTGAAACAAGAACAAACCCAGAAATTTCTAAATCAAGAAGAATAGTATCAAATTCTTCTTAATGGAGAGAAACTTGTGTTCCAAGACACGAATCATGAAATTCTCCTTCATCTTCAGTGTTCTTATTCTTAATAATTTGGGGCTTGTGGGGTCTTCAATAATTTAAAAATCTCCTTTTTCAAAAATCCATTATTTGCAACAAACAAAAAAACAAAAACTCACAACAATTCAAAAATCTGAATTGAAAAACATCAATCAAATCAGATTAATCATCCTCTTTTCGATTTTGAAAACCCTAATTCCTAAAAATCCCAATTCTATTATCCTCAACAAAATTCGAATTTTAAACAATCGCGATCGAAATCGAAAATAGAAACAGAGATATAAAATTGAATACGAGAAAAGAGAAAAAAAAAATCGAAGCTTTAATTACCTGAGAAGGAGGAGGAAAAATGGATCCAAAAATCCCAGAAGAGGAAGAAGGAGAAGGAGAAGAAGGGTTTTCTCTGGAACCAAAAAGCTCAGAGGTTAATGAGGAAGAAGAAGAAGAAGACGAAGAGGAAGCTTTCTTCTTTCTTCCTTCCATTGATTTGGGTCGCTCTAAAAAAACCACTCTTTCAGCTATTATACGTATATGTATCTGCGTATATACGTATGTGTAAATATAGAGAAAGAGATATGTGGGTGTGTATTTATCGGTTTATACGAAGGATGAAGTTATAGAGAGAATGTGAAAATTTTGGTAGAGGAAGGAAAGGGGAAGCAAAACGGTGGGTCGGTCTCGATAATTTATAGATGGATGATGAAAGCTAACTTCTACAAATTTGTTCACTAAGTAAATTACTAATTACACTTTTTGTTTTCTCAATTGTCAACATTTAGACATTTATAGTGTCATCAGTGACGTGTATGAATTTTTTTGTGTGTAACTATTTTATACTGCAATAATAAATAAAACAACAATAAAAAATGTTTTCAAAAAAATAACGATTTTGTTTACTTTTAATTTTGCTATTAAAAAGTTTTTATCGATTTGTGTCACCAATCGGATTTGTATTTTTTCTTGCTTGGTGTTACTTTTACTAGCTTGAAGTAATTCAATTAGACATGTATAAATTTGATCTAATTGATTTACATTATTGCATATATAGTAACAATATCAATGTAAACAATACTCAACTAGGGTATGAACTTGATAGTTGGAATATGATTTCATATCAATGTCATAATAGTATCTATTACCGTTATCTAGTTACTAACATACAAGTTCCCACTCGAGGTGTCTGACAAAACGATCGACACGTGGTAATCGAATAAGAAAGTAGGACCAAACTTATCTAAAGGTCGGTTAGTTGCCACATGCCACGGGTCACACCAAAAAATGGATAATTAACGAACATGACCTTAAAGGATGAGTCAAAGTTGGTTGGGTTTTTAATCTTTGACTCTTCTACGTCTCTCTCATTCGCTCTTTGTGGATATCAGTTTCACGTGACAGTTAAAAAACAAACAAACGAAGACCTTATCTCTTTTCTTATTGTCGGCTGCAACATTGAACTTGACCTCTCTAATATCTAATCTTGTCGCAATGAATGAGACGTTTTTCTTTCTTCCTTTTTCCGAACTTCATTTTGTTCATATTTTAAGGTTTCGAGATGTGAAAGATAGTTTGAAAATCTAGAGTGGGCCGATCATCTCCACTTCTATTTGCCTTTCCATCAAATTCAATAACAATCAAATGAGTTGAGATTTAGATTTGAGTATTTGACACATATATAGTGTTTTGAATAACAATCAAAAACTTGTATTTTTTTTTAAAAGGGTTTAATATTTACTAAACTGTAGTGTCAATGTGAACATATTTGTTTGGGAACTTGGTTTGATGCGGAAGATACGTCGGGAAAGCTGCTAACTATGACACGTTTACTTATTCTCGTCTCGAGATTCTAATAGTACAAAGGATCTTTCTTTATCCTAAATTCGTAATGTTGCTCAATTTACTAGACTCAAATTGAACCCGGGTTATGAGATCTGATCAAAGCGTGAAGAGTTCACACGTTAATATCATTTTATCTATATTGGGCTCCTTTTGCACAAAAAAATAAAAATCTATTGGGCTCCTTATTTTTAGACCCAATGGGCCTAAAACGTTAAATGAAAATTTAAAAATATATGCACCAGCCGGGAATTGAACCCGGGTCTGTACCGTGGCAGGGTACTATCATGCCACTAGACCACTGGTGCTTTTGTTTCTGATTTAACGTAGTAAAGTAAATAATCTGTCATAATATTAGGAATTTCTGCCGCTTCTGATCAATTTAGAACATGTAAACTCAAGCATAATTTTTTTTTTATAAAAAAACCAGTATTACCAAACTATGAAACTATCAAGAAAATGATTTAGATGAAATGAAATGAGAAAAAAAAAAAAAGAGAGAGAGAGAGCATTGCATTGGAAGATAGCGTAATACAGAAACAGCGCCCAGGAGTCACGCAACCTAACAGGTGACGTCATCACAGTGGTTCTTCTGTACTACTACCCCTATATGGGCCCAAAATATTTATTTTAAAAAATGTAGAATGGAAAATATTATCCCAAATAGTATTTATTGTCAGTTTTATTCACATATTACATTTATGACATGACCAAATTACTTATACTCATTTTAGTTTTTACAAGAACAAATATAGAAACTAATCTTTAGACCCAAAGAGTTTTTATTCTATTACACCAAAGGAAAGATTAGGGTCTAAAGATTATCTCAACTAATTTTTATTATTATGTCAAGATTAGACAGAAACCATCATGCCGTTAGAATCAATATCGTTTGATTTATTTTCTCGGTGTGAATCTTATTATGCATTCTCTTTTGTTGTCTGCTAAATCATTCTTGCTTGTAGCTAATTATATGTTTTTTCGATAACGTTATTGTTTGTAATTCCTTAGGCGATAGTCTAAATTATGTTCTAAAGTAACAAGATCAAATGTTCTTCTAAATTTTAATATCAGTTAGCTTTTCATACCTAGATGCTAAGTTGGATTTGATGGAACATAACATAATATAGTCGTCAACATGTGGTGTGGATTTGTCATTTATGTTATGATATGACCATTTATTAATCTAATTTAATGCAATCTACTTAATTTGATTTTACGAGCAAAAGGAAATTCAATTTAAAAGACTGAAAAATAAAAGCATCGAATGACTGATGTGATTTATACTTTAAGAAGTGAGTTGGATTTATCTTTCCATGTGCCAAAATATAGTATTGGTACCATGAAATATGGTTTCTATTTCCATAATTCTCCTTTTTTATTTTTGCTATTTTAATTATTGTTTAGGTCGTGTAATACAGTTCTTCTCGATGATTATTACATATAGCTTTACACAAATCATCATTTTTTTCCAATTGAGTGTGTAGCTGCTTTTCTTTAGATGTCGAATTAGTTAGGAGGATCCCTAATTAAAACAATTTATTGTAGCGCGTGGAGGTTACTCGCGAGTGAATGGGAAATGAGTAGATATCAGTTTGTACGGAGTTTTGTGAAGAACGAGAAACGCCGTTACATCAACTGACGGCAAACTCGGTGGATTCTCACTAAGCAAAAGATTTGTGCAGAGGCAAATCAAACGTAATAATGTTTTTTATGTTTTATTTTTAATAACCTAAACGACGTTAGCATGACGACGTCACCTGAGAATCCCAATGGGCATTTATCAGAACTTGAGTACTTTGCAGTTGTAACTTACTTTAATTACTAAATTTTGTACTGTCTCTGTAGATTCACTTCAAACATTTATTTTTAAAAATATTTTTTTTGGGGTCAAGAAACGAAGCCTAGGTTACACACTTACACTACAAAGTTCAAGGGTTGAACCAAATAAACAAAACAAATGTTCCAGTTGAAATCGTTTGAATGACAAGAGATTTATTTGTTTTGGTTATTGTAGCTTAACATAAATCATATTGTGTTATGGATAACTTCATGCAAATCATTGTTCTGCTTAATCTAATATGATGTAGTATGCATTTGTTTTCAATCCGCACACCAATTTAAAATTGCAATTAACATCACATTTAATTTGCAAAATATACGAGATCATTTTCATTTGATTTCATATTTCTTTTTACTATAAATAATTTTTTTTTCAGTTCTATCATTGACATAAAATTCTGAAGGAGCAACAATTGAAGTAATACAGTTACCCTATAGCAAATGTCGCTATTGCGACCGGTGCATTTGTTTTTTGTTTTTTTTTAACTGGTGCATTTGTTATAGTAAACGCAGTTAAGCTGGTGCATTAGTTCATATTGTTAGTCAAATTAGTAGAATGAAAATAACAGGATTTCAACTAACTAAACAATATACATTAGATTAACGAAACTGAAATCTGATTTTTGTTTATTCTGCTGAAACATACAATATTGTTGATTAAACCATATAACAGAGTTGGCGTATATATTTGTTGAATGCAATAGAATGTAATTGTTTTTTCTTTATTATTCAATTAGGAAAATGGACCTAAATCTTCAAAGCATGTGCCGATTTTAGTTTTTTTTTTTAATAAAAAGTAATTACTTGGTATATTGATTTTTATTCCTGATGTGATACTTTTCGTATCATGTATTAATTACATATTTACATATATATAAAGTTAATCTCAATAGTTCTTGTGGTTGGGATGTTATTTGACTATGACCTACCAAGCAATTAATAGTTTTCACATTATTATGTTTAACTTTTTCAACTTTGATACAAAATAGGTAAAATGTTAATACAAACTAGTAGACAACCAAATGAAGAGAGTTGTGCAAGTTGAGAAGCGATGCTCACTTCACTTGCTCAGACTCTTCGCTAAGTGCAAAATGAGAAATGGTTTATCTGCAGAGTTTTTCAAATTCACATGGATAACAATGGTCTACGAATATCGGGACTAGCCGATATTCAAGCACTTTCAAGCACTTTAACAAGTGTTTTCTTCTCTGGAGAACACTTCTACTTCGAGAAGCCAGACCATTGTCGTTTTCACAATTTTTTTGTCCTTTCTTGTTCCTTATTACGTCCTCTTCCTCATGAAGGTTATTGGCATGAACACGGATTCTTATGTTGGGTTACGGTTTGGATAATTGGATTAGAATGCTGACTCGATCGAGGGCGTTTGAGGAGTTAGGGGCATATATATATGGACGTCCCTGCATAATCATATCTTCTCTGAATACATATAACAAATAGATATGGGATAGTTTCTTATCTTACAACATCATTTTAATCCTCAACTCCAACTCAATTCACACACATTCTCCTTTGGATGAAAAAGGCGTTTTCAACATCACATGTGAAGCATAACTAAATCTTCCACTATCACTGCAAAATCTTGATCAGCCAAGACAATCGTCACTACTTGGTTTCAGTCTCAACTCATCCAATCTTGATCTAGTCATGTCTTTTATCAAATTCAAACATCACATTATTTTATAATAGTCCTCAATCCTCGTCATAAGTTATTTTTATGCAATATATTAAAAACACTAGAAAATCGAAATAATACAATTATAAAAATTTACTAAAATTAGAGTCGCAAAGCACCCATTACATCTATAGAAGCAGATTATTTAAAAT